ACGGGTTTGAGACATGCGAATGGGACAAATTACGAAAGGAAATGGTCGAAACCTGGGGAGAACTGGATAATACGATCTTGTACACAACCAACGACCTAGTGGATATCACCAAAGAATACGGCATAAATGGCGGAATCAAGGATCACCGGGAATTCAAATCTTACTTAGGAAAATTCACCACCATCCTTAAATACTTAGTAACCAACAAGCAAATTCATCAGAAGTCAGATGCATCAATACTCTTCCTGAGTGCATTCTCGCGTGAAAGTCAAATGAATATCAAACGCACGTTAATTAGTTACGAACTACTTCCAAAGGGACCAGACGGAAGCAACTTACCGCCCCGCTGGGTCGACTTGGTTGAAGCAGCCAGATTGGAAGTAAGAATTGTGGAACCGGGGTATTTTAACATCTCAGGCTTTGGCGAATCTAACCAATTAATGCAGAATAAGCTGAACGCTCAGAAAGGGAACAGTCAAAGAAGAGATCAGATGATTGCGGAAGCCCCTACAGGCCAAGCCATGGATAAGCATGTTGAAGATATGGCTCGAGAAATTGCCTCACTCAAGTCCCAATTGAAGAGTATAATACCAGTATCCTACAACCAACCTGCGTCTAAAAAAAAATCAGAATTCTCTAGGGGAAATGCGAAACCTTCGACACCTTTATACGAAACTCAAGCTTGTTATTACTGCAAGAGGGAAGGACATGCAACTTATCGATGTCCCGAACTAGCACAAGATGAGGAACTTGGATTAGTTAAGCGAACAGGGCGAGACTGGTATCTACCTGATGGCCAACATATACCCTGGAATCCATCAAGACCCATTAGAACAGTAGTGGCTACAGCATCAGCGGACCCTAAAATGCAAGAGGCAGCAACGAAACTAGCAGAATCCCGAAGAACAGGAGAAAATCAAGCACCTGCTACCATGAAGACCTCAGCTCAAACTATTGATTGGGATCCACCGCAATTGGGCGCGGAAAATTTTTTAGCCAATCATGCAATTACCCGGTCGGAAGGCCAACGAGGAAGACGCAGTGTTCGGATTCAAGAACCAGGAAAAGATGATATGGACGTGGATCAAGAAGACGAGCTCGCCGAAATTACAGAAGAAACACCTAAAACTCCTGTGGTAGAGAAAGTGTGGAGTAAAGAGAAGCCAGTTAATAAAAAGGCTGCAACACCAGAAGAAGCTCTGTTGCAGGAGTTAGACCATTTGAAAATTCCAACAACTTTTGCGCAACTCACGGCTATTTCACCAACTTACACGGAGCAAATAATTGCAAAACTTCAGAACCGACTCCCAGGAAAGAGTAGTGCGACATATATTACTACGGAAACCGCAAAAGTCTCGGCAGCTATGACTACTCCAGAGGTGGAAGATCCAACGGACCCTTGCTACTATAGCTGTGCCCTAGGATACGTAACAGCCGAAGTTGGGGGAGCTAGCGTGGAATTTATGGTAGACTCAGGATCCATGGTAAACGTAATGCCTCGATCAGTAGCAGAAGACCTGGATTTGGAGCTAGTACAAGTAGACATACCAATGAAAGGAGTTGGGGGAGCACGATGTGACTTAAATGGAGTAGCTGAAAATTGCCCAATTGGAATTGGAAGATTCTCCGGACCAGCACACCTGTTTGTCTCACCCAAGGCTCAGGACTGTATTTTGGGACGACCGTTCTTATTCGACTACGGATGCACTCTGGAATATCACGAAAACGGTGAAACTCTATCTTTTCAAGGAACAAAGGGACGAAGGGTGTCAGTACCATTAGCAAGAACAGGCCAAGGAAGAGGCTGGAATAATAAGAAGGACCTCAGTACCAATAGTGTGAAGTTACAGGACAACAATATACCGACAAACGACGAGGATCGAATGTTCAAAAAGAGTATTATTCAGCATTTTTTATGAATTCCGGCGTCCAATTGAGGGATAACTCACTGAAGCTAGTCAAGAGAGTTGAATTCTGGGCGCCGGTGTTCTTTGACTGGCTACTATTTTTTCTTTTTCTTATCTTACAAGAAATTACAAAACTAACCAAAACAATTTTTAAGCTGATGCAATTTTTTTCCAAGATAATACTCACTGATATTTCAGACTCAATTTTAAGACTATGTAAAACAGGTAACAAGGAACACGAACACGAGAAAAGATGGGAAGAAGAACACAGCAGACAAGAACAACTCACCTGCTCACAATACAAAGGAGCTGCAATACAATCAAACCTTGCCAAACGGATCATAAAGGAATCAGTTACGAGGACGGAACCAAGCAAGAACATCCACGACCTGTTGGGAATAGGACTTGGATGGACGTTCCAGAAGCACTTATGTCAAAATTGGAAGGAAGGGAATCTGTGGTGTATGACAAAGTATAAACCAGTTGGGAAGAAAGTTCGACCAATTAATCAACCACTTCCGCAACTACTAAATCCACCACTAAAGCGACCACCTTTGTCTCGAGATCCATACAAAACTCCACTTACTCCACACCCTCCAGAATTTACACCAACAAAGAAAATCACTGAAGAGCGCTTAAAGGTTGTTAATTTTGGACCGGAAGGATGGCTTTGGAAAGAGGAGCTCAAACTGTTTAAGCACGTCATTGTTATCAGAGAAAAAGCTTTGGCATTCTGCATGGAAGAACGAGGACTTTTGAAACACTCCTACGGACTACCTTACGTGATACCAGTCATTGATCATATACCATGGCAGAAGAAACCAATACCAATACCAGCTGCTATTAAGGATGATTACGTGGAACTAGTGCGGGAACGAATACGGACCGGCTTATACGAGCAATCCACTTCCAGCTACTCTAGTCCAGTTTTTTGTGTTGCAAAGCATGATGGGAAATTACGGATTGTGCACGACCTACAGGAAATGAATCGAGTAACCATCAAGGACGCAGGATTACCACCAGCAACAGAAGAATTTGTGGAAGCCTTTGCTGGACGAGCCTGTTATGGACTAGGAGATATTATGGGAGGATACGACGAACGAGAATTGGCGGAAGAATCAAGGCCTTTAACCACTTTTGATACACCTTTGGGAAGATTTCAACTAACCAGACTTCCTCAAGGGGCCACAAACTCGGTTGCAGTCTATCAAGCTCAAATGATGTGGATTCTTCAAGACGAAATTCCGGAATACGTGGGAGTATTTATTGACGATGGCGGAATAAAGGGACCTCGAACCACTTACAACGATGAAGTTCTGGAAGAAAACCCGGGGATACGACGATTTATCTGGGAATATGCTCAGACTTTGGAGAGAGTTCTTTTTAGGATTGAAGAAGCCGGACTCACTATTTCTGGAAAGAAGTTTGCTTGCTGTGTACCTGCATTGGATATTGTTGGACACGTGGTCAGCAAAGAAGGACGAAAAGTTTCAGTACAGAAGAAGAATAAAATCACAACCTGGCCAACTCCAAACAGTCTCACCGAGCTACGAGGATTTATGGGAATAGTCACTTACGTCCGCATTTTTGTAAAAAACCTAGCGGAAATTGCGGCACCTCTACGGAAACTCACACGGAAAGACATTAGTTTTGCATGGTCTGGAGAATGTAATGAAGCATTTAACAAACTCAAAAAAATAATTGGGGAAGATATCACCTTGAAAAATCTGGACTATTTGGAAGGCGCAGGACTGATTGTGCTAGCGGTGGATTCAAGTTTCATTGCAGCAGGAGCAGTTTTGGCCCAACAAGAACTAGAGACAGGATTGAATAGACCGGTTTTATACGAGTCAATAGTGTTTTCACCCGTGGAATCCAAGTATTCTCAGCCAAAATTAGAATTATGCGGAGTCTCTCGAATCCTCAAGAAACTGCAAACACTTCTTTGGGGTCAACATTTCGAATTACAAGTTGACGCGCAATCACTTATTCAAATGATCAACTCACCTTCACTCCCAAATGCACCAATGACGCGATGGGTGGCCTTCATTCAACTCTTCTCGTTTGACATAGTACATAAGCCAGGAAAAACATTTACCTTACCGGATGCTTTATCCAGAAGGCCTATCAGTGACGAAGAGGAAGAATTCTATGAAGATCAGCCAGACTTTGATGAAGATGAGCCAGTGATACGAGCAACTTACCAGTTCCGGGCATTTTCAATATCAGAAGAACTTTTGGAATGGGAAGCACCTGGATTCTGGATGGACCTTAAAAATTACTTAAGTACAATGAAGCGGCCAACAGGCATGGATCCTGAAGAATACCGGTCAATAAAGCGAAAATCAGTTAACTTCTTTATCCAAGATGGACGACTCATGCGGCGACACTCTCCCATGGCTCAATTGGTTATCTCCAACATCTCTTACCAAAGTAAACTCTTGCGAAAAGTCCATGAAGAACTGGGACACAGAGGATTGGAGGAAACTTATCAACGACTGGTTTGCAGATTTTGGTGGCCCAGTTTGAAGAAGAAAACAAAGTTGTGGGTTCAAAGTTGCGAGGCCTGTCAGAAAAGAGATGCTTTAGTCCCTAGAGAAATCAGGGACCCAACTGGGGCGACAACTCTATTTGGACGAGTGGCGTTGGACGTTTGCCATATCAAAGCAGGACGATACAAATATTTAATAATTGCTAGAGACGACCTTTCCGGATGGGCGGAAGCGGCACCACTAGTCAAGTTAACAGCAGCGGCTATTTCTAAATTCCTTCTAGAAGACTGGGTGTATCGATATGGAGCAATCAAAACGGTTACAGTAGACAATGGTCCAGAATTCAAGAATGAATTTATTACGGCGGTGGAAAGCATTGGAGCCAAATTCAAACCAACTACGCCGTACTACCCGGAAGCAAATGGAATGATCGAGAGAGGCCACAGGCCAATCAAAGATACACTAGTAAAGCTGTGTGGCGAATCAGGCGGAAAATGGAGGGAATATTTACCTTTAGTTTTATTTTCAGACAGAATCTCAACAAAAAGGACTACTGGATATTCTCCGTATGAACTGATGTTTGGGCAAAAGGCGGTTCTTCCTGTGGATATTGAAATGGACACTTACCTGGGAATTGATTGGACGGAAATCAGTACTACGGCAGAACTTCTGGAAGCAAGGACAAAACAATTGGAAAGGCGAGACGAAATTTTGGACATAGCTCACCACAAAATGATGGAAACTCGAGAGAATTCTGTTCGGTTCTGGGATCGAAAAATGGCGGCTAGATTACGGCAACCACTTCAACCAGGGGACCTAGTGTTAACTTATAACAAGAGTCTAGAGGATCAGTGGGGAAAATTATTTGAAAATCGATGGAATGGGCCATTTAAAGTCAAAAAACAACTCAATGGAGGATCATACATACTGGAAGAACTGGATGGAGTAGAATTAAAAAGGGCTTATGCCGCATCTCACATCAAAAGGTTCTACCCACGTGGACGTCCTTTGGCAGAAATTCGGGACGAAGAAGACTCACCTTCAGATTCAGATCATAGTTCAGAAGGTAGCTCAGACAGGGACTCGGACACTTCAGAATAAAAACATTTCTTTTCATATTTTCCTCTGGAGTTTATTCTGTAATTCTAAGTCAGTACCATCATCATACAAAAAACTCATAAAGTATAAAAACAGCTGGAAATAAGACATAAAGTACCAAAAATATACCACATACTAGTCATTTTTTCTTGAGTTGGGGGAGGAAACTCCACATTCTTTTTCTTTAAAAATTTTTGTTTCTCACAATAGTGCTTCTCACTCAAACTTACTTAAAGCCAAGATGGTTGAGGACAACCATCAGAGTTGGGGGAGGGGGGTCTGAGATAGTAGTTTGGGAAAAATTAAAAATTTATTTACTTAGAAATTTGAAAGAATAAAAAGAGAAAAAGTGTAACTAATAATAACTCAAGTCAGGAGGATACAATTTTTTTTGGGGTTTAGAAGAGTTTAAACTTTTTTTTATTTTGTTACCTTTTAAAGATTTTTTGGGTTTTGAAGAAGAAAAGTGGAAAACAAATAACTTAGAACTTTCTGGTGCTCAAATAAGTGGATCTCTTGTTTCTAAAGAACCACTGCATGTTCTCGAAGAACATGACCCGGCGGTCGGATTCAGCTAAAGAGGAAGGGGGGTATTCGGAGCACATATCCACATATTCTGGCGGATTCAGCTAAAGAGGAAGGGGGGTATTCGGAGCACATATCCACATATTCTGGCGCAATACCCTCGAAAATGCGCATGACGTCTTCCTCGGTGTAGATACAGACGGCGGTTGGTGGAGTGTTGTCGTTGAGGAGGAGTTTTTGGACTCCTTGGTGGTTCAAGTTGATGTAATTGGAGATGAGTGGATAGGTGGACGAGGAATCCGAGTCGTTGGACGAAGATTCAGAGCTAGAGGTCGACGGAGCCGGAGTAGGAGCCGGGACAGGAAGATTCAAGTTTCGAAGGAAGGGAACCGGAAGGCCAGGAGGAAGTTCGGGGTCGTGGACGCTCCACGGGACACAGACAAAGGGGTGCGGCTTTGGGAACAGGCGAGGGATCGGCACCTGATCTGGAATAGATGACTGATCAAAGACAAAAGCTGGGTCCTAGTCTCAACGATTTCCATCCCTTTGGGGATGTAGACCAACGAAGCTGAGCAAGCCAGCTCAGACGGAAGCTAGGAGAAGAAATCGGAATCAGTAACCGACAAAACAAACAACAAGGAGGAGCAGAGAATAGACTTACAATAGTGTTGATCGAGGCTGGATCAACAGTGGCCTCAGCGGGCCCTTTTTCCTTTGCCTCCACGATCTAGAACAGAAGACAAGCAACGGAATCAGTCGTGTGAAAGTGAAGTAAGAAATGATCAAGGATAAGCTTACTGGTTTAATATCGACTGGACCCTGGTTGCCAACAGCTTCAATTGGGCCTTTGTTGCCAACAGCTTCAATTGGGCCTTTGTTGCCATCAGCGTTATCATCGGGCTAGTATAAAGAGACAGCAAGGAGAAGCAAACAAATGATTAGACCCACGGCAGACAAGAAGAGGTAGTGGATGATAGACTTACCACGACACGAGGATTGAATATCGGACTCCACTGATCACGGTCAGGGTAGTAGCGGACGCCAATCTGGATAAGTAGTAAAAAACAAAACCGATATTAGTAAGGATCAACAAAGAAGGATGGGTGATACAACGTACATCGATGGACGGGTCAGAACGGCCTTCGCAATAGAAGTCATTGGTGTCACAGTTATCGAAGATAGACGACATGGTTGGACAGTAAAAAGGGGAATGGATCGTAGAAGGGTAATGAAAGAGCTTGGAAGGGAAGTGGATGTAGCTAGCAGTGGTGGAGAGCCGATGAGGAGGAAAGGGAAACCAAGAAACAAGGCCGTCTTTTATAGCCGAGAGGATGGCTGAAGCAGAGATCCCCCCAGGCGAGATACGTACCCACGGCGCTTCCTGATACCGCAAAAGCATGGTGAGAAGGGTAGTACGGCGGTTTTGGGGTATCGTTCGATCAAGCGGCGTGGGGAGGAATGGCGCCAAGTAAAGAGGAGTTTTTTTGGTTCTAGGTCAGAACAAAACAGAATCGGAGCTAAATTAGTCCCGATAAGCAAATGAGAAGAAGAAGGAATCGATCACGACGTAACAGAGAGATACTTCGGGTATGGAGAGGTAGCAACCAAGAGTGAGAGGTGGGGAAGGCAAAGGAGAAGAAAAGAGAAGAACGCACCTGGAGAGGCGGGAGCCAAAGTCGCCGAAGACCGGAAGGGTTCACCGCCGTGTCAGACCAAAGACTATAATTAGAACAAATGGAAGAACAACGACCCACGGTTGAGAGCACCAGAATTCGCCGAGGCCAGAACTAGTGCGGATGAAGATCGACGGTGGCGTCATGTATCTGTTGGAATGCAGCAACTGTCAAATTAAAGAAAATCTAAGAGAAAGAGAAAGAGAGACAGGATCACACTTACCTGTCCAGATGGATACACCATCAGTCGAGTTACGAGGTCGAAGGCGAGATCCAGTGGCGGTCAGTCAGATGCGTATAGGAGAGGGAGTGACGGATCGACCAGTAACAAGGATACCCACAGAGAGGTGGATCTACGGCGGGGAAGGGGCACGCATATCTCCGATCGGGCCAGGTCATACCTGTGACAGGGTTGAAACACCTTGGCCAAGGCGCGAGCGATCACAGTTCTCAAAGATAGGCCTTCCAACAAGTACATTAGTCGAGTTGGGAAGGAACCCCCATCACGAACTTCTACCTGGGTTCAATTCCCTGTCTGCATCAAGTCTGAATGCTCTGCACCTTTACCTGGCTGTTTTTTTTGGAGTCTCATCAAGACAAGTCAGATATCAAAAATCTATATAGTTTTTTTCTTTTCAAAACTATATTTACAGATAAAAATTAGATACTTTGAAGACCCGAGTTCAATTCCAGCCCTTGACTACAAACTCTTGAAAAATCAAAAGTTCCCCAAATTTTTATCAAGTAAGAAATCAATTACACAATTCAGGATTTCTTTTCAATCTTAAGTGCTCCCAAGAATAAAAATCCCAAATAAACATAGTTTCTACAGTCACAGTTTCCCTGCTGGTCAAATCAAATCTTTCTCTGGACACTGTAACATCAATTCAACACTGCTCAAGCCAATTAAATACACGCAGGGCAAGGTTTTCTTTCATTTTTTCTGTAAGATTAGCTCCAAAACACAGTCAAAATCAGAATTGACTGGGGACAGCCAATAAGTTGGGGGAGGATGTGGTAAATAATACTGTGTTTCTACGCAGAAAAATATAAAAATTTATTATTATCTCTTTATATATTATAGATATGGTAAAAATAACATCAGAAATGGATTTCTCAGGTAAAATTAACCCTAGTCACCCACTACAACTGATCCCATATCTCTCATAGTTTAGAAGTTACACAGATTTCAACCTGTCACGGGATATCTCTTGGATTCTTTCCTCTCAGTATGGCTTGTTTTGAATACTGCATGCATATTGAATATTGAATTCCTTTGTGGTGTATTGAATTCCTTTATTGGCACATAGTGCATATTGAATTCCTTTGTAAGTGCACATGCATTCCTTTGTAGTAGGACCTTGTAGGCTAGCCAAATTCCCTCAAGGCAGTGCTCTCACCAGCCAAATTCCCTCACCTGCATGTATTAGACTAGCTAAATTCCCTCATTGGATCTTCAGGCCAGCTAAAATGCCTCAAAAGCCTGTACCCTGGGGCTAAAATCCCTCACATTTGTCTATATAAGGAGGCCTCTGCCTGCCAGTTGTTCCCTCCATCATCCCACCAGTGGACCAGATCATCTCAACCACCCTTACAGATTATATACAAGTGACAGCCATAACAATACATTATATTGAAATACAATCATAACACTTTCATCATCATAACAAGTGCCAAGTGCCCATAACCTGCCTCATATACCATTACTGGTTGAAGCATAGTGCTCCCAGAGCTCCAAGCCTTGGTTTTAAAGCTTTGAACAACATCTTCATCAATATAATCATCACTCATTTATAACTTCAGACCTTATACACATCACTCGGAAGCTTCATCTTGAACTATCCTCTATCACGATAAATATAACTGCCAAGCTAAGCTTGGTGGTCTTGTTGTTCTGATAGCATAGAAGGGCAGAGCTTGCAACTCCATCATCCCCTTCTCCATTCAGCAAAAGGGTTTTCATAACCACTTTTGAGTCTTACAACGCTTCCGAGGGGAGTGCGATCCCACCCGCCCCTCCAGGTGGGGCGGGTTCGATTGCACGCCCCTTTTGGAGGGGTGTGGGCGTGGGCGTGCGGGGAGGGGGAGGGGGTGCGATTATCAACGCACATGAATACTGCCATACCACGTGATATTCCCAATGCCCTCGCTCCGCTCCAAAAAACCCGCCAGGCTTTGGTGCTGTTTGGTGACAATGGCAGTGATGACAGCCAATTTGAAAGATAACTGATTGGTTTTTGAGACATCCCAGCAAATGGTGACTTTACCGGGATCGGATTTATACACTCCTGTTTTCGGCCCATCGGTCTTCTTCTTGCGAGATGTGGTTGCCTCCTTGCGGATGGGCAAATGGAAATGGAAATCAATCATAATGGTCTGATCAACTGGAAATGTTGCTGATGCTTCTTCCTGTGCAGGGACTGGAGAACCATGAGGTGACTGTCAAGCAGAGTCCAAAGGAGCCCTGCTGTGGTCCTCAAGGAGGTCAATCTCATCATCCAGGTCTAATAACACAGTAGAAAACCCAGCTGGTGAAGTATTGTGATTGCCCCGCCGGGTAGGTCTGTTCAGTCTGGGTCCACGGGGAGTTAGCTCCGGATTTGCCATCTGGGCACCACATTTTGGCTTGGCTTGCGAGGTTGTTACCACGGCTGAGTAAGGATGGAACCAATTAGAAAGATCAACCAGATTTCCCTGATGAGACTCGCTCAGATGGCCCGAATGGTGTGATTGAACTGGTCTTGCGCCAAATGAGGGAGAGAGTACCGTCAGATGGATTGGTATTGACTGAGCTTGAGCTAGATGTTAGAAACGATTGAGTCGGATTGACACACATATCTCAAAACTGTTGGGCCGCTAGAAGCTGAGCTTCCTCTGCTTATTGATAATTCATGGGACCGTAGCTTTGGTGGACTGAGGAACTCATTGTCGTATAGGCCAACGTGTGATTAGGCCCAGCAGGAAAACACCAACATTGTTGCCCATTTGGGTCCAAGAACTCAAAGCTGTCATCTACTGGGGTTATCGAGTTTGTCAGAGGGGCCAAAGGCAAGTTGTCCAACACACTGTCAAGCCAATTGGTTCCAGAGTAATGAGATGGCGGACCAGTCAAGTTGTGTAAAATGTTGTCAAAGTGCATTTGGAGTTGTGAACCTTTCAAGATGCTGGTGATTTTTAACAGTTCATTTGAAGCTTGGTTGCAATCCAGCTAACCTGGGAACTCAAAAGCCTGAAGTATGTACATACATACATGTGGGTTACATATGCACGTCTGAACATACTTAAGCACCTTGTAGTTCAAATGTAGCTGTACGTGATGACAGCTGCAGGGAAGAAACCCACCAAAAAAAAATTTAGGCGGACAATTTTCTTTTCGTGTGCAAAAGTTGCAAGTGTTCTTGGGTATGCTGTACCATTTGGGATTTTGGCCAAATTATTCATACATTTTTGTCACTGAAATTTACAGGGGTTTTCCTGGGTCCTATTGAGTTTTGAATCCCCCTATAGCTGATTTGGGTGTGTAAGCCCCGCCTGCACCTCCGCGCCTCTCAGTGGGTCGCGCGCTTTTTTGCGCTAGAGTCCCACACTAGCCTGTCACACGTAGCTTTTTTCACTCCATTTTTTTTGGGTCAGCCTTTTTGCACTCCAAAGATTTCCCCCACGCACACCAAAAAAGGAGTGCACTCCAAGATTTCTTGGAGTGTGTAGGAGTGCACTCCAAGAGTTCTTGGAGTGTGTAGGAGTGCACTCCAAGATTTCTTGGAGTGTGTAGGAGTGCACTCCAAGATTTCTTGGAGTGTGTAGGAGTGCACTCCAAGATTTCTTGGAGTGCACACCAAAAGGGGCAAAACTTGATGTTTTTGGAGTACATGGTTGTGCACTCCAAAAAATTAGGAGTGCATGTTGTGCACTCCAAGAATCCTTGGAGTACACACCCTTGTACTCCAAGATGTTACTTCCCAGGTGTTTTTAGGGGTGCAAATCCCAAATCCTGCTCACTCCAAGTTATTTGGAGTATACATATTAGCTTCACTCCAAAAATTTGGAGTGTTTTCTAAGACCCCAAGGCTGACATCACACTCAATTCATGGTATTTTTGATTCATTGCGCTTGTCAGATTTCTTTTGTAATTTTTGAAAGCCATAAGGGCCTGGTCAACAGACAGAGAGAGATTTAAATAACCTTCTAGTATTGACCACCAACGAGTTGCCTGAGTTTTGTGATTAATCATTGCCATTGTTTTGGTTCTTGGATCAATTTGAGTCAGATGGTTGTTTGGAGTATGAGATCAAGGATGAGTGTCAATGGTGGCTGGTTTCAGGGGATATGATATACTGAATTCTGTAGAGTTCAACTTCATGGATATCTGGCAGTGTTCCCCACTCCACTATGTTTAGGAGTGCACCACTGCAGATGATGGGGTGCGTGGCTGTGTACTCCAAAGTCATTGGAGTGGCCACAAGTGCACTCCACAGAGCACTGTTCCAAAATGGATATTGGAGTACATGGGCTCCCACTCCAATTAACCTGGAGTACACCATGGCGCACTCCATGGATTTTGGAGTGCACGTTCACACACACCTTTTTGGTGTGCATGGGTTTTTTTTTGGAGTGCAAAAAGGCGGACCCTTTTTTTTCTTGTTAAGGATCAGCAGTTTATTTGCTTGGAAGTTGCAGGTGGACCCACTACAATGGCCAAATCGATCGAAAGTTTTCCATTGAGATGAGAAAAACCAATGTTTGGAAAGAAACTTGGCCCGGCTTAATTGTTAGATTTTTCTCCCGAGGCAATACTTTGACTGGAAGTTTGGTACATAGTCTGACCACCCCACAAAGCATGGCTCAGTTGGGCATTAAATTTTAAGACCATTGCTTGAGCTTTTAATCGGCGCGTTGGAACTTGGGAGCATGTAAACTGACTCACCGTGTTTGACATCTTCTCGAGGGACAGTTAGCACAATTCATCACGGACCACTGTCTCTTCTTTATCAGCCATTCGCAGGGAAGTGAGATAATTATCGGGTATCCAGAAGTTCCGTGCAGAGATAACCATGCTAGCTTTCACAATTCGCTCTGATTTGGATCTCAGATGGCAACATCGTATCCCCTAGTAGATGGGCTCGATTTGATGGAGCACAGTGGTACCGACAATGATTTCATGATATTTGGTGCGAGCCTATCAGAACAAATACTAAAAGGAGCTGGATAGATGCAAACCACCTCAGCTTCTATCACCGTCCACATTCACATCTGCAACTCTCATTCATTTTGATCTTTGCTACTGTTTCCGGTCAACCACTCTCTTTCCACCTCAAATTAACTTATCCTTCACTACCACAATTTATCCAACATGCAGTCCAGTTTAGTTCTCAGTGTCCTGCTTATTTGCAGCGGTAAGTCCGCTTGATTTGGTTGAATCGGTTTGACTCTGAGTGACTGAATTTTTGAATTTTTCCTCCTTAACTTCCTCATAGGGGTCATTGCTGTCCCTATCTCTGGTCTCACCGACTTTACCGAGATTGAATCCTTCCAAAAGCAAGGCTCAAACGTACCAACCCATCTGCTGAACCCCACATCGCCCCAGCCGCACTCCTTGCAAGCTCAACACCCACCCCAATCTGGAAAGCCTTCCTTCCCTGTGCAACCCGCCCCTCAACACCTTTCCGATGTAGCCCAGTCTGATGTGGTTCATGCTCCTGTACCAATCTCATCCAGCCCAGGTATGTTGATATCATTTTAATAAATCAAATCCAGTTTCTAACAATATTGTGTCTTCTCCAATCCAGCCCCGGGCGGTACCAACCCCCAATCTGGAAGCGTCGTGAACGGCGGCGGTATGCCTGCTGGGTTTGCCTCAAATGTGGCTAGACTCGTTGGAGGGTCTACTGCTTTTGGGACAGGTACAACCTCTAATGTCATCTCTGGAGGACATAAGGGCGAACCTTTAGTCAACGGGGCTGGCGCAATTGCCGACGCTACTGTCGGCGTTGCAGGCCAGGCCGCGGGGATGCCGAAACCTAATGCCTGAACAGTTGTTTTAATTGTTGCTCTCACGAATATACACAAACTGGACTCATGTGGAAGCTCTAGAATAGCTTTTCAACCCGACTAAGATCTTCTCATCGCCACTTACATTTTCAAGTGCGACTAACACACATTCATTGATGTACCACTCTTTCAAATTTTGCAATGCTCAACGAACACATTGCTGTGCCAGATCATCTCGTGCTGGACGCACTTCACTTCTGTTGAGCTCCCAGTGCGATCCACTTATCATAAATAAGTCCTTGCCCCCTCCCTCTGGGAGATTTTTGACCGGTGTGGTAGCACCACTGACTGGTGGCGGGTGAGGCCCACCCTTTCGCCTGGAGGGCAAGTTGTCTCACGGGGACGCGGAGTGGCGTTGGAATCTTGCGATAAGGAAGTTTAGTTAACTCGAGTCCCCTTTGGGATTTTCCGTTTGAGAGATTCAGTTAAGCCAGGTTCTAGCCGTAATGAGGAAAAAAAATTGTATGAAGATAGTTTTGTAGCGAATTAAGCCGATGTGCCAGTGCGTAGCGCCAAGTGAGCCTACTTGGCCACCGTTCCCCAAGCCGCTGTCCTTTAGTCCTCACCGACGAATGACTTCTGTGATTTCTTACCAGCTAAGGAGGCGTTTTTTTTGCTCGAAAGCTGGAAGGAGAATTTTGTAATGACCGAATCGAGCCGGACGTCTTCCATCCAAATGAGATAAATAAACATTTTGAAAGAGACGTTCCCCGTCCCGGCGCCAGCCTTCGTCTATAGGGAAATACTTGCGGGCCGACAATGCTCACTCAGAGAGGAGGTTTGGCACATAGTCTGACCAGATTACGACAAGTGCTGAAGCAGCGTTTGTCTGATATTGATCACACATTGCTCAGCTCTGTTGGGTATTCGGACCATTGCTGGGACGTTCAGTGGCCAGGTTCCGCATATCCTCGGGCAACACCTGCCGCAATTCCTCACCGCTTCTTCTTTATCAGACACTCGCAGGTGAGTGTGCTGACCATCGGCTTCAGTCCAGACAATCAGTCTAGGCATCAACATACTAAATTGATTTGCTCTGAATTGGATCAGTTTCTCAGATGCTAAGATCGTATCGCCTACTTAGTTTCTCAGATGGCAAGATTGTATGTCGAGCACAATAGGTATATCAATGAATTCATAACACTTGGTGTGAGCCTATCGGAGCTTATATTTAAACGAGCTGGATAGCCACAACCCATTCCATCTTTATCCACCCTCCACATTCACATTTCCAACTGTCATTACCACCAATATTGTTTCAATCTTTGCCACTGTTTTAGGTCAAGCAATCGACCACCTCTTCAGATTAAGTTATCTCTTTCAAGCTCAACCTCGTCGAAGATGCAATCCAGCCTAGTGATTAGCGTTTTGCTTGTTTGCAGTGGTGAGCTCTGCGCTCGATGTAGATTGACTAGCTATGAGGAGCTGAGCTTCTTTTTCTTCTTCCACTTCCCAGGTGTCATCGCCGTGCCTACTACCCGCACTGCTGACTTTTCTGCCACCGAGTTGTACCGAAAACATCAATCAAACGTGCCGACCCATTTACTATACTCCGCATCGCCCCAGTCGTACTCCTCGCAAGCTCAACACCAACCTCAAACTGAGAAGACTTCCTCCCACTCGCGACCCGCGCATCAACCATCTCCTGGTACAATCCAGTCCTCTGGACATGTTGTATCTCCGTCGACTGACCCAGGTATGTCAGTTAGACTGTGAAACATCAACTTCAGAGTCTGACAAGATTCCTTCCTCCCCAAGTGACTTCACTTCCGGCCGCCGCCAACCATCAATCTGGAGGTTCCGAAACCGGTGGTGGATCGCGTGATTCTGGCTCGGGGGTTGCAGGACTCGTTGGAGCGCCTACCGGCCTCGGGACCGGTCTGGGCACAGTATTCCTGAGCGGTGTGAAGACGGGGTTAGACGCGGGCGAGCATGTTGGAACCGGCGTGGGCCTTCCGGTAGCCGGAGCAGGGGAAATTCTCAAGGCAGGTGTTGGAGCTGCTGGTCAGGCAACGATGGGCATTAAGAACGTCTGAACAGCTGCTCAAATTGTCCTTATCACTGATTACACACTGGAGCCATGTTGGAGGCGGAGTAGCTCTGGTATCAACCCGACAGCAGATCTTCCAATTGCAGGCCGTTACATTCCCAAGAAACACACATTGCAACGCGTTCTCCTTTATGTCACGCCCTCTAGTAGTATTGCCATGGCCGAAGACTACATTTTTGTGCCCGACTTTTACACATTCTCTTCCTGTTGAGGTCCTGGTTGGCTTTGTGAGAAAAAAAATCACCCCGACTTCTTGTAGCGCTAGACTAATAAGTCAGCGCGCAAGTGCTCAAAAGTGAACTCAATCAGCACCCACTCCTTGGGACAGGCGCCGCTTATGGTGTGGCTCTCACCTCGGAGGTAGTTGTGAGATTGTAGAAGAATGGAGACGAGAACCACGCCTTCGTGTGCTTAAGATCAATACGTGTCTGCAATCTCGCACAAGGTGGAAAAGACAGGTTTACCTGGTCCTCCATATACTCAACTGCCTCCAACGAGCGCTAGCAACTTGATTTTGTACCCTCAGCCCATCACGTCTCGACCGTGGGGAAGGCAATTGCTCGCCTCAGAAAGGCGCGAGAGGGAATTCCGGCCATTGGGTGAAATAAGATTATAAACACCTGCTTCCAGTCCCACACAAGGTGGAAGGCTGTTAAGCGGCTGGCTCTGCATGTAATCAATTCCCACAAGAAAGACCAATATGTAAGTTTCCCTCATGCCCTCACCCAACCTGCCATCTGGTGGTCTCGCAGGAGTCCTACACATGTACGAGATTTCCCCCCGAGTTTTCTCGGGGAGTACATAGTTGCCGCCTGTTGGTGCCCGTTCCGGTGGACTGGTTTTATTCGGGAATCGGGACAGATGAAGATCCGGGCCTGCCGATGTGTTACCGAGAATTGAAGTAAAGCGGAATTACACGATCGAAGCATGGTCAAACGACTTGGGTCCAAGTCGTTTGTCTATGCTTCGATCCTTGGTGCTCGATTTCCACTCATGATCAATCTGCATCTCACCCCACCCTCGACATTGACAAACCAGTTGATGACGGCATGATCAACACTTTTTCTTATAAATGCTTGTTCAAGCATCTCTGGATACTACTGTGAGTTTAGAATGGATCCCGAGAATGTTTCGACAGAGAACAAGTATTATCTTCAGCACACGCTGATGAGCTTTCTTGGGTTGAACTGGTCGAATGTCATCTTCATGAAAGGAGCTCCCAAGCACGAGGCTTGTAGATCGGGCATCAGCAGAGGAGCTCACAACAAGTCTTGCCACAAAAACCCCCTCCTTCCCTCGTAAATAATCATATGTCATGTTTCCAAGCTTGTCTCTTTTCTCCACTTGGTTGTAAATAAGTGTGTAAGTAGATGTGAAGAATGCTGGCGGCGATGGGCTCATTGTTTTTCATTCTTTAAGACCAGATCGATCCTAGATCCTAGTGCCATCCCTTGGCCGTGGATCCATATTAGTGCTTGCCGTTCGGTTGGTTCGATGTGACGAATTTTGTTTGTCGAGATTACCATCTTGTGTGTATCTTGCTTGTGCTTTGTCAGACAACTTCGGTATCTCTGAAACATAAAAAATCATCAACCCACCAAGGATGATGTTATCCTTGTCCTCGGGCTTCACCCTTTTTCCGTTTCTCTGTTTATGGATGCCCCTCCTGCAAATGAAGCACGAGCGTGCTAGTGCTACTACTCTAACAGCCTTATTCCGATGAATCTGCATCTGATAGATCTGATGGCAGATCTCTCAGTGGCATGACTATGCAAACTTTTTTTTAGCTTTTATTTTCCGGAGACTTGCTGCCGTCGAGCTATTCTCATTCTTCTGAATAAGAAAAAAAAACACCGACATCCAGAAGAAAATTGTACATTAAATTTCACTTTGCCCATCTTCCACAATAAACCCTCAGCAAATCGTCCATTTTTTTGGTTTCTTCTTCGCTTGAAAAAAAGCATCTGTAGATTCCACTTGGGAAGCTCGTCGAAACCTGTCAAAAACTTATAACGAGCTAGCAGAGTTTTTCTGCGCACTCATCCAATAAGCTGGCTCAAGACATAATTTTTACCCCTTGAATCAATGACGATCTAAACCCATCACTCAAAATCAACACGCAGAGAATCGCCCTGTAGACTAGAGATTAATCCCTGTGGAAAGATTCGATTCGAAATTTCCACAAAAAGTATTTATTCACTTACCCCAATCAAATCTGATGTTGTATACCCAACTAACATCTTCTCTCCTGTTTTCGATTTGCAGAGACTCTCCTTATAATAAATATCGCCATCGCCTCAGTTTTGTCTGCTGATCATGTCTAAACTGGATCCAAACAATTGCTTTTCGGCTCAGAACATCACCCGATTTGTTTCGATTCTTGACGGACCGCAGGCCGTCAACAGGCAACTAGGAAGATTGGACAAGTCCCCTGATCCCGGTTTTATTCGCAAGAACGGCCATCATCTGGTCGATGGCGATGGCCATACACCTTTCAAGATCGTCGGGCCTAATATCTATTGGCTGGGTTCGTCATTTTTCTAAAAGGCTTTTCGTACGGATGACTGGATCTGCTTTCAAAAAAAATGAAGACAGTTGACATGTTTTTTTGTAACTTGTGTTTTAGGACTCGATGAGAATGTCTCCCCTAGTCCATCTTATCCTTCCCAAACCAGAGTCTTGGAGGCTTTTGCTACCGCAGCTATCATGGGATCTAGTTGAGTGTAGCGCTTGTACTATTTCATATAAGCTGAAAGTCTATGTAAGAATTGTTCTATCATTAGTGTTGCTAATTATGATTTTTTTTTTCATTTGGTTTGACAAACAAAATCACGTTGGTTTCAAAACAAAAACAAAGCTGTAGTGAGAGCCACGACTCTAGGCATCTCAGTTGGTAATCCATATTCGGTTTGGCCCACAAGAAACAACACGAACAATGACGCATTGGATGTGATCTCATTTGCAATTTATGCTGCCAAAAGGTGGATATAACAATTTTTCAACACGAGATAAGAAAAAAATACTTGATGGTCAACGAGACTGGAGAAACTGAGAAAATGGATCCTTTTTCGATTGGTTAATCATTCTGAAAAATATATTTACATACATAGATACGGGTTGAGATTAATCATCCCGATCACCGATCAATACGATTATTGTAAGTCTTTCTAGTTTCATCGAAGCCTTCGGTATTTAGTTTCGACCAAGATCTTTCAGACAATGAAGGACTTCCTTAAGCAAGAAAGAAAGGAGCATGTTTTGAATAAACTGAGTTTCTCTCTGCCAGATGCGACAGTTACAGGGGACACGAGTTGAAAGTGATGGCTAATCAGTCTTGAAATTATTTTTATGACTATTGAGACAACAGACCACGGTGGCTTCAAGACTTTTTTGAAATGGCGCTCGATTCCAGACTCGGACTATCGATCATTCTATGACATCAAATCAGATGTTTATGGAGATTTTTTGCTCTACTTGGAAACACTCTTTAACCACGTGAATCGTTATACTCAAGTTAAGTAATGTTCAATTTGATAAGAAATTCATCGAAGCATCAAGCTTTTTTCTTAACTTGTCCCATATAGAAACAAAAATGCAACCCCATTGCCCCATGGTGCGAGAACATTTGACTGAGTGATGTAAATATTATGTTGATTTTTCGAAACAACCATCAGTTAGCTATCAAAGATGACCCCACAATAATGATGTGGGAAACTGGGAATGAGTTAGACAATCCCTCTAAAGCCTGGACTGAGGCAATTGCGAAATGGATCCATACAAAAGCGCCTAACCATCTCGTTGCTAGTGGCCGGTACGGCGTGTCGACTGATGATCTCAAAATCAGCGCGATAGATGCAGTGTGAGAATAAGAGTCTTCCATTCCAACGCTGTAGCATATCTACCAAGGAAAAACAAATATTGGTATACTGATCAGAGGCATGGGGATTCAATCTTACCAACAGCACCAATCACTTTTATCCGCCTCGGGCAGACCACTATCATGCGGATGCAGCACTGGCGGCATCGCACGGGAAGGTATACTATGCCGGCGAGTTCGACTGGTCAGGCCGATCGAAATCATGGGGACTACTCGGGTGGATACTGATCCCAATCTTCCTGGGCTTATTGGCCCTCTTGATCGGAGGATGTGGAAAAATCTTCCCAATCATTTTTGAATGGACCACCCATAAAGCTCAAAAGCCTGGTCAAACTAAACCACAACGTCACCGTTCCTTGATCATCCGTCAATCGCATGTGGCCATCTTCATGATCTTTATTATCTCTCCCATCACCGCTGGTATCATCTATGCATGCTCTATTCGGGGAACTGGAATCGAGGCTTTCTTGACCGAGACAGAACTCCCGGATTCCGATGGCTCTGGAGATTTGTTTTGGAGCTTATTTGGACATGATGATCGATGTTGTGATTGGGTTGACCATGTTGAGTATCTCTTTTTCCTGAAAAGAAATTATTTGAAAATTGAAACTTACGGCCATCTCATTTCCGTATGTCATAGCCCGACGGGTTCACGATGCATTTTCCGGGTCGCAATGATGATGAGCGAGGTTCCGTTGCCAAAATCATGCAACATTCCTACACGATGAGAAGACAAGCTTTCAATCCAAAGAACAACTTGAATTCGAAGATCGAAGGTGATAACCACGATTGGTTTGGGATTGGTGATCGAGTCTTGATCAAATGTCCTCAATCATTAAGTAAATAGTTGGATGCAGGTGAGGAGGTCGAGCCAATCGATTCATATTGTTATCGAAAAGTTGTACATATTTTACATAGGAGGAGGAGCCGAACTGATGCCAACGACCTCTTTTCTTGGGACAAGCTGAGTGAATCAGGTCATAAGCTTGGAAGAAGTTCCTCACTTTCTTGGCCAAAAAGAAGTAGCATGGAAGAGAATCATTACCTGGCATAGGATTCCTCCGATTAGGCACTGCAAAAGAACATGAAAACAAATCCCTTATAACCTCAATCTCTATTCCAAATCACTAATCCATTCAAGAAGAACATTTACAAATTTTATTTAGTCACCTAACACTTAATTAATAATTATTAACATTAATCCAGCTAGAACCATACACATCATACATCCGTTGTATTTACTACATAAAAACGTTTTGGTTGTCATTCAATAATTCAAATCCTGCAGATTAATAATAGATTATCATTTGATTGTATATTATTAACATGGCCACCAGGCCTTTTTTTGATTCCTTACTTACTTAATGATCCTGCCCCTTTTTGTTCAATGTGTGTGTTTCCATTGTTTTGGGCTGTTGATCACATCATTTTGATTCATACCCTTCCTTTTCTGCCATGAAATAGTGAAGCGCTTTACCTACTTCTGATCATGGAAATAGTTCTTTCTGAAAGCTAGGACATCCTCCAGTTGACTTTGCCTTTTGGTGAGCTACTCAAGATCAATATGATTTGGACGGTAATTCAAATAGAAGCACATGGGGATTCTAGCGCTGTTTGACCCCTTCATCGGCTGCCATAATCTCTCTTTCTCTCTCATAAAAGCACTCTGGTTAATTTCTTAGTATAGCTTCAACATTCAAGATTGTGCAATCCCGTAGCAAGTTTGCCTGTAGAATAAACACAAACTGTGGGTGGGAACAACCCAAAAATCAGTTTGGTGACGGTTGGTCATCAAGACATACGGTTTTTCTGATTTGATTTATGATAAGAAAGAAAAACGCATTGCAATTGGGTTGGAAAGTGATGGAGTCCCAACCAGTTCTGAATCCTCCGAGGGTCACAAAGCCACAGAAGTTCTGCCGAGTCTGTTAAAAGGTAACGCGCTTTGTCACCCAAAAAGTACACACTGGTATGTATTCAGGACTGCTTCCCGTATGTCTTAGAAAGCCCTTCCATGGCCCGGAGGGCTGGTTTACTTTGAGCAGTTAAAACTGATTCGGTTGGGGGTGGTATCAGGTCCCTAGAAAATCTTGAAACTGGCCGATAATGGAGAAGATTTCTTTCAACCATCTCTTCAACGACCTCATTACCAAGCTCTTCTGAAAGTCCGCCATAGGATATGTAGCCATCTGAATCAAGGAGAAGCTGGCAGACCCTCAGAACTTCTTTTTTCTTGTAAGTTTTGGCTTTTCCCCGAAAGTCGTCTTCCAAGCAGGATCGTGCAGTTAGTGTGGGTTCAAATTCCATGGCTAGAGTGAAAATGCAACTACTTTATATAAGCTTCTTGCTGTTGTCAAATTTGAACATAATGTGCGCTTCAAACTTACGATCTTCAAAGTAGCCAGAAATATGTACTTGGTCGACATATTGCCGAATGAAAAGCATTCTTCCTCCAGTCATTCTAAAAGGAATCTCAAAGTTGATGGATTCCAGGCGATTTTTGTGTTGTTTTGAGAGATGTGTATGGTTTTTGACGACGTGAAGAAAATAGTTGTACGCCTCCTCGCGGGGCAGGTCACCAACAACCAGCGTGTTAAAATGAGTAGGATTAACACCTGAAGAAAAAATGGGCAAGGAATGTGGTTATGAGATCGAGAGTTTTCCACACTTATGATAGAAACTTGAGCTTACGTCTTTTGAGCCAATTCGCGAAGAACGAGTCGGAGGAGGTAAAAATGACGTGCATTTTTGATTCTTGCTTGGTAATCCGGACGGCAAAGTTGAGAAATGCGCATATTGCCTTGAAGTCGATACATCATTAATACATAGCACTTTTGATTTGAACGGTCAGTGAGCTCAAGACATACCTTGTCGTCTGTCCTTTTGAAGTCATTTGCTTCGTCGATGATCAACACGGGGAGTCTTTCTCCGTGGGGCTGTGAAAATGGCTTGAGGTGTCCCCCAAGTTCTTTGAAAGCTTTTGCTGCCTTTTGTGGGGAAGGTTGTTCTGAGCCACCGAATCCTGTCACCTTGGCGACGGTCCACATGAAATTCCAAAAGCTGTCCCGGCGTCTAATTCCCTCGTCCACAAATGCATTGAGAAAAGCGCCCTTTTCTGAGGTAGCCACTTCACGTAGATCAATCGTCAGTGGATGGAACTCGGGAGTATTATCGAGTCTTTTTTGAGCGGCAACGTGCCGAACTAGTGCTGTTTTTCCGGAATTGGGAGGTCCTAGTAGCACTGTGAAACAGGGCTTTGATTTCAATCGAGTGGTAAGCTGTTCTACCTCTGGGGCTCGGTTGAAAAAAGTGCGTGCGAACGTTGGATGAGGAAAGGAGCTGAGAGGTGGAAGAGGCCAATGATTGGGATGGTTAGATCTAATATAGGAGGGAACGCAACTCAGACAATTTGTGTAAGGGTTGTAGACTCACACTGAGCCTTGCTTGAGCGTGCGCTGGCCACTGCAAAGGTACTTGGAGTAGCAAGGTCGACAATGCATCCTACTCTTGACTGGGCTATGTATCCGTCGCTTTGAGGAGAATGAGGTCGATTACAATCTCGGTTGATATTGACTGAAGTAGCCAAAGCAAAGATGGGCCATGAATAATGTGGGGCAGGTTGCATGCACTCACCCACGGAGCACCATTGCAGGGTCTTTCAGGGTCTTTCACCGTGCATGTACCCCGTTGATACCGCTAACATGCATATTGGAATAGCATTAATAGGATTGTTCGGTGATATAGCCGTTGCAAACATCGCGGTCGTTTTCGCCGTCCTCGATCATTGCCAACTGACATTAAGGTGAAGGCTTGGAGCAAGTCAATGTAGAAGAAGAAACACCTGTTTGACTATTTTTTGTTGAATGGAGGGCCGAGCTGACGTCGACGGCCTCTTTCCTCTGGATAAACTGAGTGAATCAGGTCAAGCTTAATGGATGATATCCCTCAACTTTTGTTGCCCCTTTTGATTCAATGTATTTATCCTTTGTTCTTGGCTGTCAATCTCACTCCCTTTTGACGGATACCCTTCCTTTTCTGACGTGACTAGTGAACCGGTCTACACTTCGGATCTGAGAAACAGCTCTTGTGAAAGCTAGGACATCTTCCTTTATTTTTCATTAGTGAGCTTCTCAAGATCATTGCGCCAAAATGATTTTAATGATGATTTATAGAGAAGCACTTGAAGATTCTAGTGCCGCTCTATTCCTTTGAACAATTAGCCGCCACAATATCTCTTTCTAAAAAACACTATGGGTTCATATATGTTTGTGTCAAAATAGAATAGATAGAAATACCGGAGAGAAATTCTAGATAATTTTTGCAGTATGTATCAGAGGCACTACAAAACAAGAATGACACTGAAGGTTCAATGTTGGGTTTTATCATTAACAATTGAAACATGCAAAGTGCAAAGAATCTATATTTTAACCCTCTGCGCCCCCCTTCCTATCTGGGGGTAGATTATGGCTTTCAGAAAATAATTGTCAACTGCAAGAATAAATAGTAGATGAAATTATTTGCAGACTTCTAACTTGAATAGTGATAGACAAGATTTTTTTGTTCTTTCGCATGAAATCAAGCGTTCTAGGATAAACCTTCAAGTCTCTCCGGTAAGCCATCAACTCAAGTCCCCAAGGAACATTAGAATAAAGCTTACTCCAACGGGTTCATATTTCTCTAGGTTTTCTTCCTCTGAATTTCCATCTTGCTTTTCGTATTTGTTCCATCGTTACAGTCATCCCCTCATGTGTGTTTTTACCGCATGTCTCTCTTCATATCTAGTTGATCAGACTCATTAAACTCAGCCCACGCCAAGGCTTCCTTGAAGTCGCGTTTTTCCGCGTTTCTTCGTTATTCTTACTACAATTGACACATTCAAGTTTTTATGCATCGTCCCTTCTTATTTGTCTCATCACCCACCAACTCATACGTGTGATCCACCGGTTCTCTCTTTCTCTGTCATTTCATCAGTCTTGTTGACCTCAGTTCACAATTATGTGGAAGATCCTGCTTACTCGTCCAATAAACATACATGTGGTAGAATAAGTACAAAGCAATATAGTGAGACGGGCGAAGTGGTTTAGGTGTGGTTTTCAATAAGCATATCTGAAGGTCTGGTATTTGTCGCCCAATCTGAGCCACTCTTCATAATCCATGTTCTTAACGATTGATTGGCCTTTTTCCGTCAACACGTCCGTTTCCTCTTTTTGGGCCTCTCTCTTCTGGTTACACGATCTTAGCCAGATCAGGTTAATGCTGCAAAGAATTGCGATTCCAGCCGAGCTAGATGTAAAAAGAAGTATAATTATCAGTTGGTCATGTTCACTTCCTAATCATCATGAAAAATCCTCTTACAAGCATATGTTAACGATGGGCGCCGCCTGGTAATGAGTGTTCTGTGAGCTGGAAAAGAGCTATGGGTATGCATAGGAATTTTATTTGTGACATTAGCCTTCGTCTTTTGTTTCTGAAAATCCCTTCTAACACCAGACCAAGAAACTGGAATTTTAAAACGGGGCGAACGTGCATCCCGCGACGACATGGTAAAAAGGGAGGGGGAAGAAAACCAAAAACGTACCCATGTTGAAACGATTCCTCCCGTATTAGCGGCTATGGGGCCCAGTGCGATAGCCGTGGCTTTGCGATAGTGAGGAGCACTATTATTGGCTATCCAAGCATATAGAGTTGGGGAAGCAGAATAGATGCCCGCGGTTGAAAGAAATAGTGAGAAATATCGAACGACTGTCGAATTGCTAATCATGAACATGAGATAGCCAGCAAACTGCAGTTTTTATCGAGAAAGGCATAGTGTTTCATCAAGACAGTTTCATAAGTCTCCTTTCCCGTTGACACAAACGGTATCAAGCCGGTGGCGAAGAGAAAAGCTTACAGCAAGAGATGCCATTGCTATGGCAGTGGCGCCCCGTGCCCCATAGTGGTCTGATAAATAAGACGACACGAGCATCGCTAAAATTTCGCCGTTCAAATTTTGAATTTGTTTTACATGGCAAATTTTGTGGGGATAGGATAGGATCAGCATGTAAGAGGAGCAGGGAATCACTTTTTTAAGACTGACCAACGAATCCTACGGCGAATGGTGGCACGGAAACCAGTTGAGTCATTCTCGCGGAATAACCAAACTTATCTGGAGTCAGTTTTCGTGTTGAAGTGAATAGCCAGCTGCTAGAGGCTTACTGTTTTGACAACTGATGGGAAGATGCGACGATTGATATCGGGTTGAGCAACTGAAATAACATCCAGTAAAAGTGGTAGGGGTCTTCACTTACTGCTAGGTTCAAAATAAGCTAATCCATAAAGGTTCGATCCAATCATGAACAGAGAAGCAGCCGCAAGTAAGACGTGTGGGCTTTTAAATGCGCAAGCAACTTGGTACCACGAGAACTTCTCTTCGGTCATCTGGACTTCCAACGGCCTGTCCTGTTCCAATCGAACCGTCATAATCCTGCAAAAATAAAAGATCCAATCCGCTGTGAGGTTGCCTTGCATCACCTCCAAAATATGCTCCTTGACTCTCACCTTCTTTGGTCAGGGGTTAAAAATCCACAAGTCGATAAGGAGCGAGGGAAAATAAAAAATCCCACTACTCCACACAGAGTCGTGAAAATACCCTCAACCTGTGGATGAGATTCGGATCAGAGCTTATTCCAAGGATTTTATACAATTGATGGCTAGGATAAATCCTTGCTGGAAGATGAGACAAACAATAAATATCCAACCCCATCCAGGGATGCCACAGACACCATCTCTGCGAAAAATAATAATAATGGGAAACCCAAGAAATTGGACTCAGTCACATCTGCGCTTTTCCTGAATTAAACTTCTGATGAAAAAGAGTGGAAATTACAGCTGTATCAACCAGTATGCGAAAACCCCCGATAGGGCCCCGGAGAGTGCTGAGGCTGACGAGAACAGAGATATCCGGAATTGTACTTCGTTCCTGAGGAACCCAGTTCAATTTCAAATCGCGGTTCAGACTAGATGCTTCCCGCACGAGAATCGAGGCCGGAGAGAAATCAAAAAGGGGGGGCAGCCGTACCTCTTGTAAGAATTTGAGATAAAGAGCACGGTAGCCTATAATACGACCAAACAAAAAATCAACGCCAATACCATACTTGCAAATCGAGCTTGACAGCGTACTGGATAAAGGCCACCTGTGATCAGAGAGGCGTCAGCATCAGGCTTAGACTACATGAAATTGAAATGTGGAATATAATAGGTTTACCCTCAACAGCACCCAAAAAGAACCTGGAGAGAAACAAAAAATCAAAAAATCAAAAAGTCAACACAAAAGAAGGCGTGAACAAACAAACTGGATAGATACATACCTTGTTGCGAGTAGGCCCTGGTAAGTAGAAACGAAGCCTTCATAATTCAATTGGAGATTATTTTCACTTTCATATAATTTGATGATGGGTGCATAATAACGATGCCCAAGCCAAAAAAAATCCGTACCTTGAAAGGTAGTAACCAGCCCCCAGAGGGTCACCAGTAACGGTATTATGGTGTTTGCGCCGAGCTTTTTCAATAGCTTTGAATTTTGAAAAGTTTTGTTTTGTCGAGGAAAAAAAGAGCCTGATCAGCATCGAATAATGCGTCCTAATAGGGGACAGAGAAAATAAAACCGACCAGATTGATTGGTAATTCGGCAGCCTGTCGCATTTTTTGCTCTTTAGTACTCTACTCATTCATGGATACTAGGAAATTGGGGAGCCCTTGACTTACAATGTATGGACTTTGGGTAATTATGAAAAGGAAAAGTGTAAGAATATTAATGAGCACATCAAGCAATTGATTAAAAGAATAGTAGAGACACCAACACAAAAGTCACCGTGAGAGCAATTGAGAACTGGTAATCCGTCATCTTAAGACTCTCTTGTAAACCTGTAAAGAACATAGATGATAGTAAAATTAAAACTTTCCATTGACCTTTCTTGGTAGAACATCAAATCACTGACCTGCAACTCGCGCATTGCCTAGAGGAGTGAAGAAAAACGACGATCAATCACTTAGTTTCATCATTGCGGAGGAATTTAAAAATGACAAAAGGAACTTACCCAAGTTTGATCTGTCTAGATGACTCAAAAACGAATAAATGAAAGTGATGGGAAGAATGCTATGGCAAAAGTGGACCGGGGGCTAAGATGAGAACACGCTTTTGATGCTTGATACTTTTACTTTTCTTTAAGGGTAGGAACTCACATCCAATCGGAACGACGGACTGCCTCCCTTTCTGCGCGTGGATCTATGCTGTCCTGCTGGTCGAGGGGTGACTCAAAACATTCCGTCGACTTCTCCGCGCTTTCCTGGCCTGTAACAACGTGTGGGCATGGGTGCAGGTGGATTCAGTGGTCTAATGAACCTTTGGAACTCATATAGCACCGGTGTAATTGATCATCATCTTACACATTTCTCGCTCCATCAGGCTGAATGAGTCCAAGGCGCTTTGTTGAGAGGGATAGGTATTTCAATGCTGGTCTGGTTGGTGCTGCTTGGGTATTGGTGTTGGATACTGATGGACAAAGTTCAGCAGGATCAAGATAGTTTTGAGGGAGATGTGAGGGACCCGTCGTCCAACCTCCGCTCTCTAATAAGGAGACAAGCTGCTGTATTACAGTTCTTCGAGCAGCCCACTGGCAGCTCGGGTGTTATTACTCCATCGATCCCCTTCCCAGCAAGCTTACCATGGATTATGTGCGCTGCTGCATGAATAGTTCTTGATCAGGGTCTACTTTAATCGGGTTTCGATGCTCCGGTTTACACACTAGCGAGTTTATCATAATCTGAACTTGATGGGGACACCGGCACATGTTTGGTATACCAATACACTCTACCAAACAAGCGATCAACAGCCATGTTATTGCCCATTGAAACATGATCCAGCAGCATCCGGCTATTTACAATCTCTCTCACGAGGTCCCCAGACGAGGAAGCTCGGGCACGTCAGGGTGGCTCACCGTCAAGTCACCTTGAGATCGGCCCTTCGTGCATGCATTTTGTTGGGTGTGCTCTACAAAAAAAATTCGGCATATGACTTCACCCTTCCCTCCACTCTTGATACCAAAAGATCGTCCACTGTACGTAGAAGTCTAACTAGATGGTACGTATGGGAAAGATGAGAATTGGGGATCGGTGATGTATTCAGGCCTTAATAAACAAAGACGCTTCTTTTGCCGATCAGCGCTGCTGAGAGCTCCAAGAGGTCTATGTACCCTGGACTGACCTCGACTTCAGCCTGGCCCTATTGGAAATGACGTAGCAATTATGGTGATTGAGGATTCAGAAGTGTACACCGCTGATCTCTTCATCGCAAAAGCTCATGATAAACGCGTCAACTCTAGCCAAACAAATTCCCTCAATGCTGGTCTACGCTCCAGGACTGCGATTACATAAATATTCAGTGAGTTGAGTTTGCGAACGTGCGATGAAAGGATTACAAAGTTGATCAACCAAGTATTTAAGTAAATAAATTGATGCGTTTGCGATCTAGAAATTTCTGTGACAAGTGGAGCCAGGAACTGACAGAGCAGCCATCAGCTATGAAGTCATCGCTGAAAATTTCGCTCGACCCTGGGGGTATCTTGCCATGCGGCAAGCAGGAGGATGTTTTACATGTGGCACTTGGATGTTTGATGTTCATGTACGGTTGAACCGCTGCATCCCGCCTTGGCCTATCATCCTCTCCCTGCCCTCGGTAACACCAGTTCCTGATTCTGAAAGGGGGGCCGAAGCAGAGGAGTCAGAATCCGATAGACACGACCTTAATGATCTCGATAACCACCGACAGCCATCAGCGTCATAAGTCTGTCTGTATCCTCATACAACTGGACGTGCCGTACATAAACATATTGTAGCGACCGATGTTACCGGCTCACTCATGGGTCATCGTCAAGAAGTGTATGATGATGACTACGTATGATGATGCATTGTATCTTGTGCAATAAGCTCGAGGCTCGGCGCAGCCGTCTGAATATTATCAATACAGCAATCGAGTGATTCAGAGAGGATTAAGAGAAAGATGCATTCCATAATCCCGATCAGAAGGAAGAAGGCTATGGTTCATGCTGTTCCCGTTTGCTGCAGTATTTATTCTACAGAGTTGATTTCCCTATCAAAGGAAGATAAATAAAAATACAATTCTATGTTTGATGCTTTAATTGATAAAAGAATCTAGGTGAACGAGGAAGTAAACATGGATTTTTTTTTTCACTACACGTAAAAATCTATCGGCTCCAAGAAATCAGCTTGTAACTTCCTCGCGGATGATAGAAGAATCGGCGCGTTCATGGCGATAACTCCAGAATTGATAAAGTACTATGAGGTCCAGCTTAGAAAGAGAAAAGGAGAACGATGTAAGGTCAGAAATATCAGTTCCTTACTCTTTTTTTTTCCTTGTTGGCAAAACCAAGTAAATTCAACTTACGAATATCGTCCCGCCACTGCCTATCAACCAACTCCTGAAATCCAGGCCAATTCGAAAAGCAAAAAGTTCGGAAGAGGTCAGTTATATGAATTGTTGCAGAGTGGTGCAAGCCTGTGAAGCCAGATGGTAACACAATCTCACAGGTTGATTAAAATGTGGTCCGGAGATCGATCGACGGTTAAGATTGAGGCTACATAAGTCAAGTTCCCAGTGATTCCAACCTTGAAAATAACAGCCAAACAAAAACCATCAGCTTTTGTAGAATAATGGCAGGGTAGAAGAATACTATGTGTTACTTACTAAGAAGAATAACAAACTCAAGCCATGGCATTTGGTGACTTGATTTTTGAAGATTTGAGGGACTCGACTGCTGAGATAAGCAAACGCGCTAATCCAACCCATGATCTGAGCGGTAATATCCCAGGTTTCAGTCGGTCTATTTCCACTGCCGCTACCGTCATTGGCAGGTGGGGGTGTTTTAGGATCTTGAGGGTCTAAGCGGGGGTTTTGAGAGATCGACCAGCCGAGGAAACCGATAACGAGGATCAAGCCGTAAACAGTGATGTAGCTGGGCAAGGCTTGCGAGCAGTAATTCAGCGCGCGATATAATTGATTGCATATGGATTTGGGGGATCCTTTGGTATTCTCCAACTGATTCGAATCATCATTCCGAGACAAAAGAGGCGAGGTTTCTTCGGCCTCTGCACGTTCAGAAGCCATGCCATTGCTCACGACGTTCCCGGTTTCGGATCCAGGGGCGTTGAGTGAGACCGTTTTAGCTGCCCTCTGTCGGTGATAACGACGATAGTGAAAGATCTGGAGGAGTAAGACCAAGTCACAGAGCGTGTAATAGATCGACAAGATGATCATCGTTTGTAATAAATGTTGTTTGACCGCCCCAAATAAATTCGTCAAGTCGCCAATCATCCATATCACGACGAAGGAGATCGAAACGCCTTCTCCACTCTTGTAAACATAGTTTTCATAAATCTAATTCGATTGAAATCATATTTGAATTGGTCAGTATGTGTCAAAGACGCAAGAATAAAAAATAGTTAGTTGGGAAATGAAGACGTCAAACACATACTTGGGGCGTGTAAACGAGAAGCCTTCGGGCCACAAAGAGAAATTAGTACTCCGCTTCAAGACTCTCATCAAGCTTTTTTACGGCGGTGCCTACTCCAATTCCACTCGTATACACACAAGCTAGTGCACAAGGAAAAATATAAAAAAACAGAATTGTGGAAGTGGAAAAGAGACTAACCAACAAGCAAAACTGATCCAGCCCATCAGTGACGAGACAGACTCACTTGAGGTTGATTCGATTGAGAACATTGTCGGTAATTTTGTCTATGTTTGGTTGAATCTGAAGGAAAGGAAATGTTGGGAACTTCGCGAGGAGGAGACTCCGCAGGAACACAGCAGTCGGAGTTTCGGGCTAAGATCCGGGTGTCTCGTGTTTCGGATATGACTTCAACTTGCCCCGGAATCCGGCATATCCGGCTCCGTCACCAGGTACCCCTGCCAGACAGATCTGTGTCTCCCAAACAGATTACCCCAAATAGCCAACCTACACTGGGTGAGGCAAAACTACACCCCATCACTACAAGATACCCTTTTGTAGGCATCAAGATACGCTGAACTCGAGCAAGGATCCATGAGTTGGATAGTGCCAGTCTGCCAGATCCTCCAGGCCTGAAGGCCAAGTAGAGGAGTTTCATGCCAGGTGATGGATCACAAAATCAGTGAATCCTAGCAAATTCAAACAGACCCTATCCACAAAAATTATTGTAAAATTTCCAAAGCTTGTTCTTATAACATGGGTTTTTCATCATCCAGAAAGAGCTGAGAGTTTCTATTTTATTGAGGAACTATTGACAAATCAATCAGAATGAAAATTTTCATAAGGAACCAAATGAAAGAAATATTTAGAAAACTTGAGGGATTTGACTATGCATTAAGAAGTGTGTGATCAATTAGTTACAACTACAGACTACAGTTATGTGGTGAGATAAGAAAACACAACAATAGATGGAGATATTAATCTCATGTAGGTAGTGAATCAGCATGAAGATCACCAGGAAAAAAACAATGCCCACCAGATGACAGGTGACATTATCTAAAATTGATGACAACTCCAGTGTAGCTCCAGTGTTAATGCAATCCAACTAAAATGGCCCCTTTGTGTGCCACAGGGGGCTGAAATAGAGTTGAGCTTGATACATAGTGGTTAGTGTGCTGAACTTAGCCTGATGTCAAACAGTCACCTCACCAGTCATAAAGTGAGCATTGTTTTTTCCTGGTGGACAGGCTATGAGAAAAAACAAAAATCCAATTTGTAGGCTGTGTTTGGCACCATCAAATTGATAATCAAGAATGATATAGCATATTACTATTGACAAGGGAAAACATTGGCTTACAACACCAAAGATTAAATGGTGCATAGAATAGGTTCAGATAATCAGGAATCCAGGATAGATGTTCAAATCTTTCAAGAAGAATGGAGATTTGGATATGAGAAATGAGAGCTAGTTTTGCTATCAAACTCCCAAAGTTACAGTGTCAACAACAGGGTCTTGATGTTGGGAATCTGATATAATGAAATCCAACCATTTAGTTGCCTCTGAAAGAATAATGCAATCTTTGATTAATTCTCAAGCCATCAATAAAAACTAACACACAGTTTTCAGTATTGCTTAAATGTTGCTTCCAAAACTTGAATAGCCTAGAATGATACCAATACACAATCAGCATTATTGAATCTGTTGCAAGGGTTGAAGGCTTGGATGTCAGACTCTGGGATGTTGATTCCTCAGATGCTATATGAGTAGATGAAACACTTGAAGTCAGATGATTAATCAAGAATCTTTGGATGGCAGTAAACCCAGGTTGACCATCAAACAGCTCATAAGTCTTTTCATCAATGATGCCAAACATGGGTAAGCTATACTTCTTCCCAAACAAAATGCCTATCAACCATTCCAGGAAATTCTGATGTGCATTGAGCAGTGGATCAATCCCTTTGGCCTTCAATCCCAAGTTCAAGTTTTGATGCCACCATCGACATGACTCTAACAAATTTTCCAAGCTTATTTTGAGTTCATTGAAAGGAATCATTTCTCCTGAATTGTAATTCAACCTAATTGCAAACATTTTTTCTGCTGTTTGATTGTGTTTAAAAGGTTCCAAGAGGGCATATATCCCGAAAAATCTGTTCAAATCATGATCAGAATGTACGTGCTCCACAAGCTTGTACGGCTTGTAGACCTCATCAATTTCATCAATTATTGTCTGGTGAATTTTTATCTCCTCTGGGTCATGTGTAAACTTGATAATCAAGTCATTGAATTGCTGGGTTAACGCTTTGAAAGTTCTTGACGGAAGTTCTCCCAGTGATGATGGTAGGGAGTATGGTGAATTGAAGGCTTTGATCTTATACCATCCCGCTCCCGGGCCAGGTTTTTCCGCGGTGTGATGCATGAACGACCAAAAGGATTCGAACCCCAATCCTTTCCGACGAATCTCCAATTTCTCCCAACTCTCGGGAGCCTGGGTTTTGTACCAGAAATAGAGAAGAGCTATCGATGTTGTGTATCCATAGCTTGATGTATCTTGATGATGAAGATACCATATCAACCACCGTTGAACTGGTCCGAAAGTTTTATTTAACTGGTAGGTTTTTACTTCGCCGAACACTGGAAAACTGTCTTTTGGATCGTGCAGGATATTTTTGAACCAGCTCATCAATTCTGGGTACTCCTTTTCCCTTTGGTATTTCGGTGTTCCTATTTGACTTGATGAAAGACAATGGTTACACACCATGAACTCGAACAAATACCAAAGCTGTTGGCTGATTCGGCGAGATGAAGAGTGATGGTAATTCTTATCCAAAACACAGATCACTTTTGCCGGGTAGCCAGGATATGATATCATATCAACTGGAAGGTATTCAAACTGTTTTTCAATGTGCGGCGAAGCACGATTCTCCCATATTGCACGCCTTTTCACGGAGGTTTCCAATTGATTCATCAAATCTTTGGCATCCCTTGGCATCAGCGGGAAGTGATGAAAGCTATTAACATTAGTAAAACGGTGCGGAATCCAGCCAATGGCTCTAGTGCTTGCAGTGGGACACGAGCTACTCTCGGGACTTTCTCCAACAAGGGAGGGTTGAACTTGAGTGGCACGTGGGTTCTCAATGAGCCGTGCTGGAAGCAATTGGTTGCGTCCAGGTTCATGCAGCTTGTGCGGTTCCAAGCGAGGTCCAGAAGCACTAACATCTGGGTAAGCGTTTCCTGAATTACAAGTTGCGTCAGGGAGTCAAGATGCATTTATTTCCAAAAACCAGAACAAGTTAGACACGCCGAAAATGAATAAATCACGTCCTTGATGTGTGCTGCTTTACTAACCTTGATACTTATTTTCGTCATTAACTAGTGTATCGCTTGACGGAGTCGACTGAAAATTACTCGTGGCCGGAGGGGATCTTTGATAATTTGGATCAAGTAACATTGCATTGTTTACTGGATGAAAACCAGGCGGAAAATCATCAGAGACAGTCGCCACCGGTCTGTCGTTTTCTTCTAGAGTGCTTCTACTAATGGCCTGGAGTCGTTTGGCAGGCGGTTCATGAAAGCCCTGGCACTGGGCCGGTCTTCCATCATCCTGTAACTTCGCTCTGCCACTTGAAATACCCACGCGGATTGGGTTAGCAGGATCATTTACAATCTGCGATGAACTTCCAAGCGACTCAAAGTCTTCACGAATACTGGAACCTTGATACAAGACAATTGGTCCGATCAATTCGAAGGATGCCCAGATGTACTTGGCCACACCCCGGCTCTTCATCTTTGTTGCGTCGCCACAAAAGACTAACAGGAATTTGCCTAGCTAGAAAAGATACAGGTTTTCTTATCCTTGACGTGTGGCCTTGTAAGGGATTCGCAGCTAGTATGCATCACCAGAAAGGAGGTGAGACCTTTTCTGATCGAGGCTGGATGGACCCCTCTTCTGAAGAGCTCAAAGTTCTGTCTGGATAACTTATCCAGTAAATACCGGTATCAAAAGCTTATGGGTTGGTCAGCCTACGTTTCTGAACGTACTTGCTCCTATCAAAGAAAGTGTTTGAGTGGCCACAATGTTTACTCTGGCATACAGCCCTGGAATATCCTGTAGTAGTGATGAATGGCACATTTGAGGGGGTTATACTTGAGCATAATAGTTTTTCAGGAGAATGTAGATCAATGAAACATAAAGATCCTATAGGGTGAAATAATAACCTTTAGTCTTTGATGCAAAAACCATTTCTACTACAAAGTTTCTCAAACACACTGGAAACTTTATTTTCTAGACATGGGTGGATCAATCTTATGATGTATTTTCATTGGCTTTCCTGCAAAATGTATCGAAGTAGCCCCTCTGGTAATTGAATCAGATAGTTCAACCATTGCTTTTGGAAGTATCAAGACAACAAAATCTGATGAAGCTGAGCATGATAATTATCAAGTTTCCTAACTACTTCAAATTATAATTAGGTTTTTTTTTTCTGTTTGGGTGAAATTTATCGTCAATGAGAAATGCACGAACAAAATTGATTCAAATTTCAATGATTTTCATTTCCAAAAGACCTTGTATGTATGCTGTGGCTACTTGAATTATTGGAGAAAATATCCTACAAAGTTTAACAAGTTGAGCTTTATAAAGACTGGATTAATGAACCCATTGGGTGTATTTTTTTGCGGATTGAAGAATGCATTTTTTCATCTCTCTCTTTTTTTTCTACTCAATTTTTTTTCCAAAAAAAAAATGTTTAGAATGGATTCCAGCTATCAGATGATATCATTCCCAAAGACCTTCTTTTTTGGATCCAACAGTCGTCAAACTTCTTCCCTGGGGTTGTGGTCATTATGAATCTGTTATCACACAGAAGCATAGGAGGAAGTTTCAGCCCTAAGCCGTCTCAATTTTGACTTGAGAAACAGCGAGAAACAGCTTGAGATTCTGATCAATTTTTCGTAGTATCCGTGGCATGGGCTATGATGATCTGGCGCAAAATAACTGCCTGTACAAGTTTTCCCTGAGTTGTTGTTGACGACCACATGGGCAAAAATGCGATGTGAAAAAAAAAAATTCAAGTAACAGGTTTTGGACATGGCTTACCAGGAAAGCAGTGCGCCCACCGGCCTCGGCTGGCGTGTCAACCGGCCTCCACCTTCACCACAACCACAAAATTTTCAAAGAACAGTCAAAGCACCAACAGCTCCACATCATCACCATCGTCAACAGAAGATACATCCACAGAAACCCAACAGTTGAGATTTGAAAGGGAATAATAAGATTGTGAAGATGCGTTCGACTACCTTGCTCTCTTGGCTCCTCAGTGCCTTCGTGGCCCTCATCCTCCACACCACTATCGCTTCCCAACAGCCTCGAAAAGGCCCGGTGGTAGTCTCCAAGTAAGTCCGCAATACCTTGGATTTCTTTCCTCCTACATGTATCCTTGCATTTCTGAAAAAAAAATGTGTATGGGCTGTTTTTATTTACAGGGTCTACTTAGATATCACGCGTGGCGACAAGGTAAATCAACTCAGTTATCTACATCTTCCATCATCAAAAAAAAAAAAAATCTGATCGAAGCAAGCTGTGTTTTTGTGCGTGGGGAAAACACACAGCCGTTAGGAAGGATCGTGATTGGGTTGTTCAAACGGACCCCCAAAACCAGTGAGAACTTCCGAGTTCTAGCTCTTGGGAATACGAAATCGGCTAGTGGGACTCCATTGGCATACAAAGGATCGAGCTTCCACCGAAATCATCAAAAATTTTGTAAGTTCTTCCTTCCCGTTTTTTTTTTTTAAACAATTTTGAGAAGAAAAACAAAAAAAACAGGCTGAAGTTGATGATGTGTTTTATTAAACTTGTCGATCACTCTTCCCAGATGATTCAAGGCGGTGGTAAGTCGCACATTCAGAAAGACCTCGCACGAATTTCCATGATCCTCGAAAGTTGACTCTGGAGACCGGATTGACCTTGTTACTAGATTTCACGAAGGGTGATGGAACCGGTGGCGAATCGATTTACGGCAGCAAGTCAGTCAATCTTCCAACCCAAAAACCACCCAAGATTCTCAATACTGTGACCAAGCTGGATTCGATAACTATTCTGATCATTTTTTTTTTGTTTGTTTGTTTGGCGTGGATTTGTGACTGGATGACAGATTCAAAGACGAGAACTTTTTATACAAACATGAAGGTGCAGGGACGTTATCGATGGCCAACGCCGGTCCAGACACCAATGGCTCTCAGTTCAGTGATCATAAGAACATTTAGATCCCCCCCCCCCCGGAGAGCATCAGAATAACGGTCAAACTGACTTGACCGGATGACAATCCTTAGGTTTTTCCTATGCACGGTCGTGACTTCCTGGCTAGATGGAAAACATGTGGTGTTTGGCAAGGTTATCGAAGGCATGGTATGTGCGACTTCTCCTGCCCATTCATGAATGATGCTGACGATTGTTTTGTGGTGTTTGAAGGACGTTGTCTATGATATCGAGTCATCCAAGACTGATGGAAGGGATAGACCGATCGAGAAGGTCACGATCGCTGACTCTGGGGAGCTTGAGATCGAGGATGAAGTAGACGAGGAAGGGAACAAGGTACCTCTCCGAGTCGAGCTATAGATCCCTCTATCTATCGCCTCTCCCCCTTCCTCCGCCTTCCCCCCTTTTTTTTCTTCCTCCTTTCCTCGCTTTCTTTCCGATTCGCATCTCTCCACATTTCAACCCGTCGAATAGATGCTCCATCAAAAATGTTGTAGCTGGAGACCGTCACTACAACTGTCCGTCTGTTGTTTTCCCCCCAACAAAAAAAACACTCTTGATCATGTTTCGGTACGCAAATTTTGATGTAAGACAGACTTCTTTGATCGCTGGTGGTAGACGTGAAGGGCTCACAAACTTTCTAGATCTGAATTCCATTCTGTAAGATCTGAAGATCTGAGAGCCGGGAACACTCTTTCCTGGGCTTGTTATCTGCCGTCTCTGCTTCAAGTCTTCCCTCCCGCAATGGGAATTGGAAAGGCAGAAGAAGGAACAAAGTAGGCTCACAGTTGACACTACTCGTTTGGACCCACGAAGCTCATCTTGTCAGCCCCTGCATGCAAATTAAAAACAGTCCGTCCATCCATGTCCCATAAGACCCACCACTACATACATAACACATTTCCTCTCCCTTTTTTTATATAACCAAAAAAAAAAAACAATAGTCAATTACGTAGTACTCATTTTTAATCTCTTTTGTTTCTTTCTCATTGGGTCCTGTTCATCATCATTCGAACGATTGAAATCAATAACCATCCTATTCTATATAACCAGTTCGGAGTCAAGGGCAACGGCAACCTACTAGCCTCATCATCCTCATCCTCATCATATATTAAGACGAGTAGTCTGAAAGAAACCGTCACTTGGAGTCGCGAAGTCGATTCCTTGTGATCACCTTCTCATCGCCATCAGAACACCACAAACATTATATACTTTGTTTATCAAATTTGTATTTTTCTTTTCTTCTTTTTTTGTTAATTTGATGTGATTTGGTCTGGAGTTGATCAGATAGAGAACCCGCATAAAGAAGGGCAAGAGTAAACTATAAGAAGATAACGAATCAACTTCTGGGGAGGAGCTACACTAGGCAAGTTTGATCTTTTCACATTTGACAAGATGATACGGCGGCTCCGCGCCGATCGAATTGCCGGCGCTTACGTAGCAATCAACGGACGCATGGCCCAGTGGTAAGGCGCTCGCCTTCGATGCAGGATGAGCAGCTTTCCTTGAGAGCGAGAGATCGTCGGTTCGACCCCGGCTGCGTTCATTTTTTCTCCCCCAGAGCCTCGGTTTTTGCCCATTTTCCCCGAAAACCCAATGATTCAGCCGAGGTGGGTGGCTAGAGTACTGCTCTTAACCTTATTGGACCATCCAAGTCTTGACCACTCTGGGTATGTCTTTCAATTCACCACCACCTATTGTTGAGGCCCTGCTATAAACAGAAATGAAATAAACATGCTGACTTCCATGTGTATGATGGCAGCAGAGCAATGTCCATATTTCCCTCCTTGAAGTTGACCAACCAATCCAACATGGCAATTAGAGCCTCACTTCTGGTATGATGCCAAGGAGAAAAAAGGGAATGGGTGATCACAGCATCCCAGTGAAAACCTTGGTGATTCTTAGTCACTTTCTCTATTTTCTCTTTTCCTTTATTCATTACATAGCTTTTACTTTGTGAAGTATTTATGATGAAATTTCTAAGAAACCAAAAACCAGACTGAGAAAAAACAAAGGATCTAGTAAATAATCAGATGATAGAAAAAGAAACTTTAGAAAGAGAAAGAGAGCATACCACTAATATAGATGGAAAGATATAACAAATTAGGTGAGGACTTTATAGGAGGATTGAGCAAGCAGATAGTCTGAAAAAGAACAAATGAGAAGAAAAACAGTTCAGTGATTTGTTCATCAAGCACAGAAGAGAAAAGAAGATAAAAACAGATGAAAAACAGGAGAAGGAAGTAACAAACAAGAAATGTAGAGGACAATTTCTTATGAGGTAAGGATTTGCTTTACAGCAGAGTAGAGTGAGCACCAATGAAGACTTTTACAAAAGGAACAAAAAAAAGAGTGAGTGTTTGAAGTTATGTTGTGGGTGCTCTGGGGAGAGCAGGTGGGGATCTTCTGGGTTCTGGTTCTTGATGGTAGATTGCAAGATGAGGGATGTACAAGGTGTGGATCTCAAACAAACTCCAAGTTGGAAGTTTGTGACATTTGCGTAACAGACTATATACACATGTAGCATCCCCGGTTCCAGTCCTCCACAGCTCATAACATCAAGCTTCAGTAAGCGGAGAAGTTGGGATCATTACACTGGGTGTAGAACCAGTATTGGAAAATGTAGCAATCTGTGATTGAGTGAGTTGAAGTTTAGACTTGAGGAATTTGAATCTTGATGGTATTGATGAGATTGGGGGAAGAAGACTGGTACAATCAGTCCCAAGTACTTGAATTCGATCTGTCTTAACCCTAAGAGGTTGGCTGCGCTTGATTTGTGATTGTTGTCATTAACCCTTGACATGTTGAGTTTCACCAGATTTCAACACTTTGCACTGCAGTTCTTTCTGGAACCTAGTTGATACATTATTCAAAGCAAACTCTCTTTCTTTGTATCAGTTCTTTTCTTAATCAATCAAATCATTTCATTCATCAACTCGTCACTTTCATCACTAACCTCAAACTCTTTTAGTTTTGTTTCTCTATCATCTCTTTCATGTTATCTACTTAGATTAAAATTGTTGTTTCTTCAGGTTTGTGAGCTCATTTCCAGGTCATAATTAGTTGTATTGTGTATATAAACTAATGTTGTGAAATCCAAACTCACACCTTTTATGCATAATCAAATATGCATCCTCACATATCTTCATGACAGCCAAATAAATTGCGTCATTCCTTCTCTTCTGCAAGCAACTGCATCCTCCGCCAATAACTTTCATCTTTCCCTTCTTTATCAGTTGCTCACCACAAATCCAATCATCATAAATCAAAATCGTCCAAGGTCTCATTTGATTGCTGATCAATCAAGTTGCAACACTCGACTCATCGACCGACCACTTCTAACATTCAGGAGGAGCTAGATTTAGCTTCTGAGCAGGTAGCGTGGTTTATACTATTCTATCATTGATTGTTACATGTAATTGACCGTTCCTTTTATTATTCTTTCAGGCTATTTCATTGTGATAAATCCCTTGTGTTAAAGAAGTCAATGTCGTTGTGTTTTTGTGTTTTTAACTTTGTGGTATTCTGATCCCATTTATCAGGTATTTCTTTCTTCAATTTCTTATTGTTTTTATCAGACATTGATCATATATACTTATCATTATTTTTTGTTAAGATTATTACTTCTATTAAGTTTTATAATATTATTTCTATAAAAGTATTGATTCAACCATTTTTACAACTAAGGGCCTGTATTGTATGACTTGAAAATTCAATTTTTGAAAATCTACCTTGCTCAAAATTTCATATCATCAAAAGTGATATATAACCAAAAGCCAGTCTTTGACCTGAAAGTAAAGAATTTCAACAACAGATCCCTCCAGTTTCCCCCAATTTTTCTGTAGATGAAAGAAAAAAATATCCATTTTTCACAATTGAATCCTATGGTACAGGCCCTAAGACCACCTTCATCTCTAAAGGTATGAATGAAAAAGCAATCAATCAAATCTTTTTATTCAACAACTTGTTGCTTTCATCACTAAACTCAAACTCTTTTAGGTTTGTGATCTCAGGTCATCATTAGTTGTATTGTGTAGATAAACTAAGACCACCTTCATCTCTAAAGCTCATTGTTCATTGTGGGGAACCCAGTCAACAAATATGTACACAGCAACCAAGCTCAAGTTTGACTTACTTCAGCTGATGTAACAGACAGGCAAAATGACTTGCAACTCCTACAGACATGTCAACATGAAATTGGGCATAATATGCCAAAAGCCGGCTACTTGAGCAAGGTGCCTGTGATCCCCCTACAGACCACAGCAAATGCAAAGGGGATGATTGAGGATGCAGTAATGACATAAGATGTCAAGGACACATGAACCAGTGCTAAAGTGCTTGCTTTTGATGTGGGATGATCAACTTTCCTCAAGAGTGAGTGAGTTGGTTTGACCCTGTCTGTGTTCATGCTGTGTATGAGGGGCTCCTCCAATCCAGTTCTTTTTGGATCACAAAGTTCAAAGTCCACCACCCACTTTGTAAACACAAGGTAGGATTTGCACCACCTGGGCACCTTGACAGCATTTTTTTGAGGTGTTTGGTGCCAAAAGTACTAACTCATCCCAGTTCCTCTTTATGTGGAGGGGGGGGCCTTTTTCGGAAGCTCTACAAGTCGCCTCACATTCCCAACACCCTACAAGCTTCCCACCAGAAGGAGCAGCATATCTGGGAGTATAACAAAATGCCCTCTATCATTTTAGGAGGGCTCCAGCTGTTTCCTCAGATGAACACTTAGGCCCCGCTTGGCAGCGTCATAAATTTAAGTGTAATATTGCCTTATTAATTTAATAAAAAATGAACCACTTGGAAATATGTAACAAAATTTTTACTAAGGCAAGTTCAACTACTGATTTCAAGGTTAGTATGAAAAAAGTTGAGATAATGGGCTACCTTCAGCACCATGATACCAATATTACACCTTTTACCCATATACAGTGTAATATTGATATTATGGGGCTCAATATGGCCTAAGATACCACATTTGTTATCAGCATTAATGAAACAAGTAGTTGAAATTGCCCAAGCAAACATTTTGTTACATATTTCCCTTTGGTTTATTTTTTATTGAATTAATCAGGCAATATTACACCTGTATTTATTACGCTGCCAAACAGAGCCTTATGAATGTAGCCAACAATCAAAATTTTCATGGTCAGTCTGTATGACCTACTAAATACATCTGACACTCAGGCTGCTTTTAGTATGTACTTTGGTAGATACAGACACTGGCATGGAAGATTCTGGGCTATAAGCAGAAGGCATAACACATATTCAAAAAAGTACATCAAACCAGTGAGCTCCAACCACAAGGTGTGAAGGTGAGAAGACAAGCATCAGTGCTGCAGCCATTGTGTTTGATGCCATCAAAATACTTGGCATCCTTATTGATAATGAGGTTGAGGTATCTGGAAGATTATCCAACCTCATCAGAACACAGATAACATAATTTAACACTTGTGCCACAAGGGGGCTGAGACTGTGACTAATCTCCAGCAATGCTATCAATTCAGAAAAAAGGGTCAAAATATAATAGATCATAGCCAGACTTATAAGGTTTTGAAGGGTTGTTTGATCTTGTTTGACCATGGTTTTCAAGAATGGTTCAAGCTTATTGGTTGGTTTATTGTTGTTGCCAAAGTTGAGGGGGGGGGGGGGGGGTGAAGAAACTCAAGATTTTTTTTGGGAGAAAGGGAGAAGAGATTGGTTGATGAAGAAACTCAAGGAAAAGCTCAGAGGAGAAAAACAAGGTCTTAGAGCCCTCAAAGAGGCCTAAGTCTGCTAGCTTGCGCAGTGGAAAGGCACACACACTACAAGGAGTTGCATCTGGGAGAGACTCCAGGGATCAGTTGCAGATGAAAAGATGCTTTACATTTTCTAACTCTGAAGCATGGTAATTTAAATTTTATCTACATACAACATTAGCTGAGTTGTGGGACAGAAGGTGAAGAAGAGGAATATTCATCTGGAACCTGGGAGAAAGGGAGTGACAGGTGGAAAGGAGTGATAGAGATGTGACAGAGAGAGAAGAGCAGGACACAACAACTACAGAATTCCAACAGGGGGGGAGTTTATGCTGTGAGATCCATGGATAGACATTGACTTGTTATTGCAAGTGTTCCAACATCTCATAATTAACTGTATGTGTCTTGTTAATGTAAGGGCTGTGTTTTAATCCTTCACTGTAGGGGTGAGGATGGGTTGGGATGCCCCACAGGTTGCCCCGATGCCCCACAGGTTGCCCCAACCTGGGATTGGTCTGGGGCAGGGCAGGGCAGCTTGAAGGTGAATTTGAACCTAAGTGGGTCAAACCCCCGGGTTGCTTATGATGGGTTGGGTCAGACTTTCCTGAAGTTGGGCTACTCAAGGGTCAATCCAACAAGATGCCAAGTATCAATAGTGGCTAGTAGTGGGCCTTTCCTGCTGAACCCTGGCCAATAATTTGTGAAACACCAAATGGATGAATTTGATTAACTGGAGGAGTCAATGTAATTTAGAGATGGGCGGGGACAATCCAATGGGGATAAGAGCTATCCGCTGGCGGATATCCGCCAGGGCCAGCGGATACCCGCCAGGGGATGCGGATTCGGGTGCGGATGTCCTTTCCCCCCCCCAAATCCCGGCGGATATCCGGGTATCCCCTGGGATACCCGAGACCAATGGCCGGCTGGAAGGGTTTCCTTCCAGCCGGCAAGGTCCTTCCAGTCGGCGAGGCATGTACCTCGTCGACTGGAAGGGTTTCCTTCCAGCCGGCGAGGATGTGCCTCGCCGGCCATTTAGAGGGCGGGTATCCGAGGATATCCGCTCAGATACCCGCTAAGGCGGGGGGATATCCGCCAGGGGATGCGGATGTGGGTGCGGATGCCGCTTTCCCCGGAAAAAGCAACCGGATATCCGCATCCGCGCGGATATCCGGATGCAACACGACCATCTCTAATCTGATTTGAAGTGATCAACAAAGTCAATCAACCGGAAGAGTTGATCTAACTTAGACATCCATTTCTTTCTCTTGATGATAACTTTCTTCAACCTCCTCTTCAATTTCATTCATGCACATACAATATAGATTTGAACAAAAAAAAACATGACATAGGTATAAATTGAACTGTTTTTTTTTTTTGGGGGGGGGGTTCATGTGTCCAGACCCACGGGCTGGCTGGCAGGTTGACCCATGACTCAACTTAAATATTGAGAGGCAGTTTGGGTTGGACTACTGCAAAAGCATGAACAGACCTGCCCCAACAGATGAATTTAGTGGGGCAGGTTGTGTCAGCAATCTTGGTATCTGAGCCACCCATATATCCACACCACTAACTTTACTGATTTTTGGAAAGGCACCAGCAAGGAGCTCAATAGCTCCTGAGGGGGAAGTGTGTAGCAACCAAATGGGTTTGATTTCAGTCCAGACAGGACTCCAGGAGAAAAGAAGGATCTCTCATCAGTATCTACAACTGAAGGAAAGTGAGAAGAGGAAGAGGATGGTGGGATACTTACCTAGACAGAAGGAGCTCTGCCATCTACAAGGTAAAGCGGAAAGACAAGCTCAAGTGTGCTTAGGTAATCTGAGCTATGAGACCTTGTGAGACCCACGAGATAAAGGGGGGCTTCACGGGTGTATGAGTCTAAGTAGGCCTGTTAAGTTTCATAAAAATCTACAACAGACCTCAATTCAGATGTGTTCCTATCAATGCAAGATAGGAGCAGCTGACTCTGGGTTAACCAGTGGACATAAAACATGAAGAGTCAGCCATACCATGGGCCTACACATGGACCACAGGGGTCAGGCCAATGTTGGCCCAGACATGGCAGTAGTATACGTCTGACCAGCTGTTGAGGAGCTGGATGATCATCGTCAGATGGCACCTTTGCAGGTCTGGGGAGTAAGTTCATGTGCAAACCAGCCAGGCACAGATAGAATCAGGTGATCATTTGTTCACACACTTACTCATCAATCACAAGTTGGCTTGCTTCCACATTGTGTATTCCTTGTTCTCTCCTCATATATGCATTTCATTTCATTTCATTCATGCATCATCATCATCATCATCATTTTGAGTGTAGATAAACATGAAAAAAAAAACATTAAAATCTATCTAAGGAAAACTAAAGAAAAGAAAATGGATAAATAAGAGAAAAAACATTGTAAGAGGATAAATAAGTAATCAAAAAAAAAAAAAAAATAAGCCAGATTTTGGTTTTCTTTTCTAAGGAAAAAAAAGAAGAATTAGCAAAACGTTTTGATTATTTGTGACCGATAAGATACCCAAAGACCTAGATAAGATAAAAAAGATAGGAGATCAACGAGAGGAAGCAGAAGAATGCGGCTTATAAGGCGGAGGGGGGACGGGCGGCAGAGGAATCGGAGCGGCGGAGGGAGCGACATGATGGCGATCATCAGCCGGCGATGGGCCGACAGCGGGCAGATTACTAGAGTCCCGATGGTTGGCCGAGTGATGACTGAGGATGGGATCCGAAGAATCGAGCAAGGAGTGATGACCAAGCGGAAGCGAGGGAACGAGCTCAGACGAAGATGAATGCGAAGCGGGAGAAGCAGAATGAGAAGCGTCAGGTGAATGAGAAGCCGGGGAAGAGGAAGAAGAAGAGATCGGTCTAGACAGGTTGGGACGTAGGTCGGAGAATGGGGACTCGGATCTGAGCGAGCCGTCTTCTCTGCCCACCGAGCCGATCGACGAGCCCCTCCCAACAGCCCCAACCCCAGCACCAACACCCTCATCCAATTCATCGACTTCTTCTTCTTCTTCTTGGCTAGTCGGTCTCTCCAGGCCATTCGAGCTCGACGACGCCATCGCTGCATGTCTTGCTCCTGCTCCAGTTTTGATAGCAGCTCTTGAGCCGTCTTCGTCGTCGTCGGCCATGTGACTCGAATTCCCTTGGCTCGACGAGCGCGCCGAGATGTCCCGTGATTGCATCGCCGAGCTCACGATCCCGTGCGTCTTTAAACCAAGCTTCCTCGTCGTCCTTCGGCGATAAAACAACAGATAGGCCGCCGAACTTTTCACTCTTTCTGGTGAATTCACTTCCGTCACATGTGACTATTTTTTTTTTTTTTTAAAAAAAAAGAATCATTTAAGGAGTTAATTATATATATAGTGTGCGTGTGTGTTTGAGAAGAGCTCACATCATCGTAATTATGCCATTTCCCATCCTCTTCATTTTTAGCAAACGCAGTATAATGACCACCGCCCAAGCCCCCGAAATGATTATCGACGGCAAAGAGATCATAGATCAAGCTTTCCTCTTCTTCCTCATCCTCATCATCCTCCCCCTCCTGCTGAGGATTCTCATGCCCGTCCCGCTCCCGATCTCCATCTTGCTGCTGCTGCTGCTGACGTTCCTCCTTGCCATCATCAAGTTCAGTATTTTGGTCTTCCAGAATCGCGTCGATCTCTTTTCCTTCTCCACCAACCTTATCATTATTATTATGATCAGAGGGATTAGAAGAAGAAGGAAGATGATCATCAACCAAGATCTGGGGAAGATTCTTATGATCCTGATCCTGATCAGCAACTGGCTGATCACGCGAAGAAGCTTTGAGATTGCGTTGATGTTTCTTAAGTTCACGGACGACCTTAATGCCTTCGACTTCATTAGAAAGATCCAAGCCTTGGATGGGAAAGTCGACAAAGTTATCAACTTTGGACGAGCGCCCATAGGACGTTCTAGCCGAGCTGAAGCGTTTGAAATGGACGACGAGGATGTCCGGGACTTTCCAGATCTGCATCTGTTTAGTAGCTTGGACATGGTTCTTACATCTGGGACAATACCATTTATCTTCTGAGCCCAACTTCTCCGGCTTTGAGAAATCCTTAAAACATTCCTCGATCGTCAATTCCCCCGCCGCGCCGGATTTCTTGTTCTGTTCGGCTACTCTAGAGGCCACCAATTCCGGATCCTCGATCACCGGCGGATCGATCCAGTTCTTCGAGTTCGGCAGATTCTTATCTAGTCCGAAGAAGTGGCCCATCGCACTCGGTGTCCATTCGCATTCGAAGTAATCTCCCTCGAAGACTACCGGGCCCGTTTGCGAAGAATGGGAGGGGGATGATGAGGAACGAGGTTCAGGGGCAGCCGCTTTGTCTTCGTACAGGTCCTCGTTCTCCTCCATTTCGAACACCGCCCCATTCGAGCCGTTCGCGTCTTCATTGACACCGGACACGGGCGCGGGTCCGGGCGGGGCTTTGGAGGCAGAGAGCTTGACGCGCTCCTCGAGCTCGATCGTCGCGTTTCCCATTGCGTTAGAGACCGGAAAGACCGTCGAACAGGGGGTTTTGGGCACGGAGATCTTGAACAGGTTAGGTACGGCGTGGAGTGTGGGTTGAGAGGAGGAGGAGGGCGGAATCTCGGCGGTGGGCTCATTCATCACCACGTCCTCGTCCTCATTACGTTCGAAGAGCTCCTCGGCCTGGCTGGTGTATCGGGCATATTCCCGTGCGACCGCATCGTAGACTGCCCGAGTACTCAGCCGATCCTTCGCCGAGATCCGGGCGACAAAAAAGACCCCAAAGGCCGTGCTCGATGGCTTGTGGATGCTAGTACTGCTCCCCATATTCATCCGTTCCGCCGGACGATACGAGACCACGGGGATCAATAGATCAGGGACTTCCTCTTCTTCCCCGTTCGTGTGATAGATCCCCGACTTCAAGGCCGCAAAAGGCAGTGGAGTCTCAAATACATTGATCACATCGCGTTCCATAACTCCCTCCAATGAATCCGTATCGTGCCAAATTTTCCATGGTTTACCCGACCAATCTTCAATAGCAGCCATCTAACCATTTTTTTTTTCAGAAAAACTCAAAGTAAGTCACAAATCGTTTAAATCTGTAGCAGCTGAGACCGAAACTTAACTCGATCAGGGTCTACACATAAGATCTGACCGATATGTTGTTTTAATTGTCGGATAGTCGAATCTTTGTTGATTTGATAATTCACTTTAATTCGAGGCTTACTTAAATCTAATGGAACGAAGTAAATCGTCCCTCTGAATTTTTTATTGATCGGTAATTGTAATGTGAGATACATAATTTCATCAAATTTGATTGCAACCTTGAAAAGGATAATACAGAAAAAGATCAGCTTGGTTTTTTTTTGGTGATGTTGTTATAGAAAAAAAAAATCTGCACCTTATTGCAATCGGGACAAATAAGAGTCGATTTATATTGACCCTGAAAGAGATCGACGATAACGGAATCATTTCGTCTACGATAAAGATTCCAACAAGTCTTTGCGAGTTTAAGGATTTTCTGAGCCTCAAGGAGGGGATCATTGAGCGAGTTTTGGTCGTCATAATCGGGGATTTCGTCGAACGGTTTAACCTTGACCCGATTAAGATCTTCATGCAAGGCATCCAGAAGGAAGGTAAGAAGTTCTTGCGAGTCTTGTTGCCCATATCCCAAGAAGAGGGAGTTGAATCGACCGACGATCGACTTAAATTCGCGTGGTGAGATCGATTGGTGCGAGGAACCCCCGTAACTCGTCGGCCCGTTCGTCCCGCTCGTGCTTCCCTGAATCCGGCGACTCACTTCATACTCACTCGACCACATTCGCTCAATCAGTTGCCCAAACGTCTCCGCTACTTTGCCTCCCATCCCTAATGGGTTCGTCCTATTGAGTTCATTGATGTACACCCTCGATAAGAAGTAGGTCTTCAATTCTGGACAATTACTCAAACATTGTAATGCGGAGTTCATAACTATGTTTTTGTTTTCGGGGTTTGGGTGGATAGGAGACATTGATGGATTAATTCGATCGGATTTCCTCGAAGAAAAACCAAAGTAGAAAAAAGAAACAGAAAGAAATTATTTACACTAACAGCATGTATTACCCAAATTAGTCAGTCCTACCAAGCCTCTGATTCCGCGAGCTTTGAACGCGCTTTGGGCAGAATTGAATCTAGAGAAGCGAAATAAGGAGGTCAGAGTGACGATACACGGAGAGGAAGGAGGAGGGAGAACTGACGCGACGAGACTGAGATCGGAGTTAGGAGAGGTGATGGAGAACTTGGGGTCTAAGAGGTTAGCCTGGTTCATCTTTTCCATCCGATCGAGCCACTCCTGGCCGCCGAAGACGGGACCGGAGGATGTAGGATCATCATCCTGAAGTTGAGGGGGAGTCGAAGGGGGAGCGGATTTAGGATTGATGAGCCAATGACCCTCCTGGTCTTGCTGTTCGATGGCAAGGACGTTGACGGGATCGGTGAGGAGAGCTTCGTTGAGGTCGGCGGCATCGCCTGAGGAAGGCTCGACGAGCTGTGTCTCCAGGTTCCCAAACTCGGACACGCTCAGGATGAGTTGGTTTGGATTCGAGGGTGGACTGTGGATCGACCAGAGCTTGAAGGACCTGGTGAGCAAACCTGCTGGGAGTAGGTTACTCGTCAATTCTCGTTTGAGGTCCCCGATCGAGTTTCCGATCGAGAATCTCTTCTGGATGACCAGATTGGGTAATTGCCTGATCAGGTTCAGGTCGTACTGTTGTTCTGATTCAAGTTCTTCTAAGTTTGAGCTGGGTAGTATGAGGTGGAAGATGAAGCTGGGTGGATAGAATTCGACTGATTCGCTGGATGGACCACTGGGTGCGATGACCGATCGAGGGATTGCATGGGTTGGTTGTTTGAGTCCATACCATTTGACGAGCAAGTTCCAGAATTCTTCAGGGATGATTTCGCAGTCGATTCCGATGGAGATGCCGAATCTGAGCTGATTCTCATGATCGAGTAAATCTGAGTTATCGATGGATGGGATGTCTGTTGTTGTTGTTGTTGTTCCTGCTGCTGTTGAGTCGTCTGTTGCTATTCCGATTGAGGATGACCAGGTGTTGAACCATTGTTGATGGATGAGGTACCAGGTTTGATCGGTTGCCATTCTGATGGATCTGAATGAGTGATAGAGTCTAGCCTGTTCTTGTGGTGAAGGTATTTCGTCCATCTCGACCTCCTTGACCATTCTTTTCAAGTATTCTGTTTGGTTGGTTGGTTCAGGTTGGTTGGTTTCTGGGCCGAGGTTGTCTGGCAGGGGGCAGGGGGAGTGCAAGTGTTGAGTGCCCAGCCTTAAACCCTAACTTCCCAGACTGAAGTTAAAAGCAAACAAACATAAACATAACCTAACCTGAATCCGCAATTTACCAGGACACTTCGTCTCTGATGGAATCTGTCGAAGAAATGGAGGGACATCCAAACACCCAGAGGTCAGGGACCTGTACTACTTCCATACGCTAAAAAGGCCAGGTAACCAATCTTCAACTAACTTCACTCCTTGCCCTGAACTACCTCAGTTTGGTGATCTGGGGTTTGTCCGGCTAACGTAACTATCCACACAGATAGGAGGGGTACATAAAAGACTCAGTGGGACACAAAATGAAAGCTATTTTTCACATATCCTCAAAGCATCTTCAGAAGCCTTTTCCATCAGTTCATGATCAAGCCTCCCAGTTCTCTTCTTAAAATCTATTTGGATTTCATGAGAAATGGTTTTGCTTAAATTCTAGAGAACAAACCCTTCACAACCTTCTTAACAACCAAATGTTATGCAGCTCATGACAATGGGGATGATGACGTATGCTATCAAGAAAGAGATTCTTAGCATTCCCCAATCTTTATAATCATTATGTGATGTTAATCAAATCTGTTGGGATTGGAGTAGATGATTATCAAGAGATCACATCACATCACACCCCAGCTGCTTACTTCACAAGCACATGATCAGGACGGGATGAGCCGCGAATGTCTCCAGTTCCACCCCGACGCGTCTTTTTTAGAAATCCTTCTTCTTCTTATGAGCGAAGCTCCCCGCGTCTCGACCTCCTTCAGGGCCGTGCCAACAATGTTCAAGTAGGTAAAAGCAAGACGACGCGCCACCATGGAATCTGGATCCAACTGGACACCTCCCGGCTTGCATCTTGGCTATCCTTGGTCGCGAAAGGGAAGTGAACCCCTCAACAGATCCTGATGGCTTGATTACGATCGACGACTGGGATGGTGGCCGGCGAGAGGAAGATAGAAGACATCTTAACACACGCCGCGGGTCAAGACAGGACATATTGGTTGTCTCGCCGGCTTCGGAATGAAACCTACCTGAAGGGAAAGTCCCCAATTTTTGTAGTCGAGCTGGATGCTTTCATGATCCTCTTATGAACGAGAACAAAGGCTGACGACCTCGGCGGCCATCGGCTCAGTTAACCATCATGGCTGCAAACAATATCTCAACACCCCCTATACCGGATCCTGGTCCATTTACATAGAAAGTGGACCCCGGAACGTAATGCATCAGTGCCGGACACCTTCCCTCAAGGGGACCCCTGTAATTTGCGACTCCCTCTTCCCTCACTCCGCGCCGCTGCCTCGTTCGTACTATTCGTACATTCCAAGATATTGCCGCCTTTCTTTTTTTATTGAAAACCAAACACTTTCATGAGGCGATTTTTGGGTGATTTAAATTTCCTGCATGGCACTGACTGGTCATGTTTCTCTACACATACATAGAATGCCACCGGCTCAGTGATCCATCAATCTGGCTGGCTTCTGTCATACTTATACATACATACAACTTGTAGAACATTCAACTGTGCTGAACAGAAAAATGGCGTCAACCACACTCTGACCGCCTTGAAGACGACACATGATCATGTCTTGAATTGTACGAGATAAATTAAAATTGTAAGCAGAAATTCCACGTCGCTTGCTTCTCTCCACTCTCTCTTCACCCCTCCCGTACCTTATAACGATCAACCCACTTGATTTTTCAACATCGAATCAACTCCAATCACCCCCCCGCCCCTTTCCAATAGATAAGATAGACAAGATGAACACTAGTGTTATCCATCTGTTCCTCGTCTTTACGATCCTCGTCGCTCTGGTACAATGTACCCCGGGGCCGTTGTACCAAAACATATATGATTGTACAGGCAGGAAAGATGGCACGCGAGATGCACCAAACGCCGTATGTCTTGGTTACGCCGCTGGAAGTTCGTTCCGTTTCCTCTCTCTTTGAAACCTTTACTTGCAAAAAAAAAAGCATTCCAACTGATATGCTGATGGACTATAATCTTTTGTGTGATGATGACCAGTCTACCCACGTCCTCAAAACACCGGATGTAAGGTCGGTGACGATGAATTATGTTGCATTGATCCAGCGGTGAGTAATTTTGTAGCCGTCGTTCAGTTCGATTATTTGGCCCATCATTAATGACTTTTGGCCGATTCTTCGGCGATCTTTCTTCTCCCTCAGGCCAAGGTCAAAGGAGCCGGAGCAGGGTGTCAACCAGCCTAGTCACTTCTTCCGATCGACCGACCTAATTTCTCGACCGTCATCCGAGGATTCGTTGGTTATTCAGCTCCTCAGAACGGCCAATCAAATCTTGAATGCGAACCTAACTTCATAGCTTCAATGCTTCCCAAGACCTTTGTAAAGCTGTCATGTTTCAATCGTATCGTCATGAAATGTGTTGAATTAGGTCAACTTTGCCCTTGCTTTGCACTCGCTCGTCAATCATTCTAAGCCCTGTGGGAAACGTGTTTCTTTGCTAAATAAACTGGTCTGCCAGTCCATAAATATATTTACGCTTGGTGACCGGGGTCAGTGAGGGGGTTCTCCCGACTGACGGCTATTATCGAAGCTGCTGGTGGTTTAAAGATGCTCATGAAGGGCTGCTATACGCACCAACTGAGTTCTTGCTGAGGCGGGGTTGTAGAAGCCCAGTTTTATCTCCCAGCATAGGCTCTTAGAGGTTGCACGAGTCTAAAGCTGACCAACCCTTAATCCAAGAGACAACAATCATTGCATTCAAGTAGTACCCATAAAAATGTCTTTGCACAATTTGAATCACCTTAATGTTGTTGATTGAAATATCTACATCAACACTGCTACATATTGAAGGTTGTACAGGGTTGAGTGTTTGAAGGCCCTTGAAGAAATCATTGTCCTACTTTGGGTACTGCATTTGGAAACGCCTTGAAGGAGATTTTTCCTTAATTTTCCTCAAGTGTTTTTCTAGAAAGTTTGAAACATTCAATCTAAGCATCCATCATATACAAATCTCGAGGGAATGTTGCCTTCTCCGAGAAAGATGAGGCGAATTTTTTATCTTCCACACTGACATGGGGCGCTTTTTCATTGGACATGAGCAAAGCTTTCGTGGTAGTACTGACCAGAAGTGAGCACAACGTCTTTCCTCACAGTGAATTCAGTGCACAAATGCTAGAATTCAACACGAACAACTGACATTCTCTCATCTCTCCAACCAGGTAGGGTCGACAGCGATGAAGTGATACAAACACACGGTTAGAAATGAAGATGAACCATCGAATTAGCTAAATTATTGCAATTGAAATGGCCTGGATGGATGACAAGAGAACAAAAGATCTGTCCACAAAGGCAAAGGAGTACACTAATGAAGAACAGCCGGATGACAATGGATAAAACGATGGTCAAGGTCCGCGAATGACAAGACAAATATGACGGCAAAGGAGTGGAAGAGAGATGAGCAGAGAGCTTGGGACAATCACCACCCTGACAGACTGGGGACGAAAGAGCCGAGCTGATGCCAGACTGTGACGGGCACGGTGTTGTGTCGCTGCCTAGTACAAGCGGCCGTCGTCGATGCCGGGGGTGGAGATGATTTGGGTGTGATCATGGGAGGAGGCGGCAGCGTCATTCTCCCTTTGGCTGCTGAATATGCCATAAGGAGTGGATTGGAATTGGCTCGCTGAGTCGTGGTATCTGCTGTCACTCGAGCGGTCGCTGTCGTAGAAGAAACCACCGCCGGTGTTGCCGCCATTGATGTAGGATGGGTCACAGCTGTATCCACACGGCTTTCGGGCTTGGAGTCTGTTGTTGGGAGGATCTCGTGTCAGTGGTCTGCACAGGACCAGTTCTATTGAGAAGATTCTTCAAAACTCACTCTACTGGGGATGCCATGGCGGCTGCATGGATGAATGGACGGAGTCGGTCAGACTGTCAGTAAAGAGACTCTCAAAAACGGCCACAACTGAAAGGACATGGCAGAAGACGCACCGGCAGCCAAGAGGCAGACGGCAACGATTACGCTTCGCATACTGGTGAACTTTGAGAGGGTGAATGAGAGTGTAGTGGAGAAGGAGTGGTGTCCAAGTGATTGTTGTTGAGTCTGATGTGAGTGGGTGATGCGCTGGGGCAAAAAGAGAGGGATGTCTGCCTCTATTTATAGCCCAGACCTACAGCTTGACTGGGGTTGCCTGCTTGACTTGGTCTGCCTGCTGCTTGCTGCTTGACTCGGCAACACAAATTGACAATCATGAGCCATCCGACCGGGTCAGGAGCCGTCAGAAGGTGCTCTCTCACCGCACGTTGGAGTGCTGGATCATCACGCCGGGGAGAGACGGCGAGAAGTCCGGTGGCAACCGAGCGCAGCTCGCATGGAACTAACGGTACTCTCTGTCTCAATGCGGTATTTGGAAATGAGGATTTTGTCAGATGCCAGAACCGAGACGGCTCGGTTGGGTTGAAAGAAGCCAGAAAGTCAAGACATGAAGACACAATGGGATTGCCAATGTCCATCAAATCCAGAAAGCTATGTAAACAGCATGTATGGGAGTGTAGCCTGCCGGTTCTGGAACCGTCTGTCTCGAGCCTGACCGATCTCCTAGAAAAAAAAATCATTCCAAGACACTCAAGTAGAGATGAAGATGAGATCCTCCTGTTGGAATCCATGAACTTCAAGTCTGGCTGTGAAATGGTCTATCGGCTGTCGTGTTGGTGTTCGATGGTAGTACTACTAACGTCCGAGATATATACAAGAGCAACTATGTATTGCGACTTCAAGGCACTCAATTTGTTCTAACCACGGGTCCGTAACACAGGCTCTCCTGTCTAGCAAGTTGGAGAGCTCTGTGGTCCGTTACGGAAACGCATATTCCACCGTGAGGAGTGAGATGGGTCCTCAGGCAACGTCTATGAAAGAGTCCATCGAGCATTTCGTCGCAGGCATGGCAACGCCAGTAGCTCCCTTCTCTCATGACGGTGCACTGTCGGCCCGTTGGCCGGCCATGGGTCTTGCAGAGGAACGCTTTCCGGCACTGCTGATTGTGAGTCATCAAGGACATTGCCTGACCACAACGACCGCAATTGGGAATGGGACATTCACTTATTGCTTGAACCTGGCCGCACTGGAGCACCGCACAGAAGAGGCCTATGAGCACTGAAACGAGGGTCAGAGTCTCGAGTTTCATCTCGTCGTGGTCCCGCTGGGCTCCGCGTGTCCCTGAAACGTGCGCTGAGTAAAGTCTCGAGGTCTGGCGACTCGAGGGAGACTCGTAAGCGGTCCTTTCTTCATGTCGATGAAATTTTGAAGACACTCACCAATTGAGTTGAATGGAGAAGGGCGAGAGTTCCCGATGAGTTAATTGGTGGCACGGGGGTGCCCCGCTGAGACAAGAGTCTTCAACGCACTGCGGAGGAACTGTGAGGACCGCCAGATGAGCCGAACGTAACACAAGTCCCCATTCCCTGCTGTGGGCGGCGTTGGCATGCGAGTGGCCTCGTCCCTGCCGCATTGCGCCGGCCGGAGGGAGGCAACCCTGCGGGGCTGCCCTTCGGGAGCCTCAGAAGCCTCAAAAAATCACTGGTCTGAAGCCGCGGCTTGAGGCGTTAATTCTTTGAGATGTGTAGGCCATCATCGGCCCTGACAAATTCGGCCTCCTCACCTTAATGATAGGACACAATGATGCGTGATTCAACATCGAAAAGAATCAGTCCTTCCTGCATTGATCAAATATGATTCATGTGGACTCCCATGGCGAGTCCTTCTCGATGAAGTATACGCTTAGCCAGGAGGCGGTCTTCGACACCACACCTCTGATCGAGACGCGTGCGCCGAGTCAGACGAAAAGCTGCCAAGGCACACGTCAAGGCAAGCAGTACATAACATGGGCTCCCTGGCCAAGAAAGATTATGAAAACCGATACGGTCGCCCTTCGGTTCCTCCTTGCCTCATCGTATTGTGCTACACTCAGTCACGATGATACGTACATACGAACTATTTAAATATAATCCCGACTGATGAGGGTGCTCACATCCCCCTAGCACCGACAAGTTAGTGATACATATTATAGCAGTTTGGAAGCAATCATCAAGAATTGTGAATGAAAGAGCTGTGTATGTGTGGGGGACCGATCAAGCAAAATAAAGATGATTGAAAGAAGTAAATATTGATTCACCAGATGTCTGAGGAAAAGAAAAAAAACGAGGCCGAACTGAGAAAAATCATAAACGTCAAAGAAAGGAACCGTTTCATCATCATTTTTCATCATCATCAAAAAAACATTACCAAAAAAAAAAAGAAATACGACTACCACCACACAAAATAAAAAGGAAAACAAAGCCGTGTATATTTTTAAACTAAGATAACGTAATACGATGTGAATAAAAATAAAGAAATTCAAATAAGATAAAATGAGATGAGAGGATGAGAGAGAAAGAAAGAAGATAAATAAATAATAAAAAGACAAAAAGTTCGGATTGGATTGGATAGATGAAGAAGGCAATTCATGCGAAAAGGCATGGATCTGAGGGTGGGAGCGGGAGGGGGGGGGAATCGAAAAACAATGATGATGAGGTATGTTTTCCATGAATCATTAGAAAGCCGATATCGAGAGAGAAGGAGGAGGGAAGTGGACATGAATCGATTGGGCGATCATATCATCACAGTTTCCTAATATTTTTTTAGCCCGAGTTTTCTTTTCTGTTCTGTGACCAATGAAGCCAAGGGAGTAAATCATTGGATGTAGCCAGTCAAGCCACGAGCGGCAAGTTGATCGGGGACTTGGGAATTGAGTTGCTTAAAAGACCCGCAAGTTCAACACATCAATAAATCAACCAAAAATCAATCAAAGGAGATAAACAAACTTACGCGCAACAGAGCCACCAGTTTTTCTCGAGTTTCGGCCGGAATCATCGCCTTTTCTTCAGGAACAGCGGGTACCGAGTTCTGGAGAACATGGGCAAAGACGGCCAAGATGTGGTCAAAGTGAGTCTGGACCAACGGATGTGACTGTTGGATCAATTCAAACAAGGCTTCGAAGCATTTGCTGGATTCAGCAAAGTCCTGTTTGAGTGGTAAAGCCTCGAAGAAGACCGGTAAGAGCTGTTCAAATGGGGGGTGGCTTCAACTAGTGACCGACAATCAGATTAGCAAAAAAAACTACTGACTTGATCTAACGGCAAAGCGGCTTTGTTCTTTAGAATCAATCGCGCGACCGCACCGGCAGCGTTGTCTTTGGCGCGTTCACTCTTCTCGCGGGACGAGTCGTCGGGGACTGTGAACAAGGGTTGAAGACACTCCAGGATGCTCATATACTGGCTGCTGATGTCGACAGTAGTCCAATAAGCCAACGATCCCAAAAAGAAAGCAGCATTGCTCCTGACTTCAACGTCTTCGTCCTTGGTCGCCTTCAATCCGAGAGGTAGGAGTTGCTCGGTGAAAGGGCCAACTGCAGACCCAAGGCCGTTGATAACCTCTGCCAATGAGCCGATCGCGTTGTTCCGATCGGTCGGTGAGTAGCACGGATCGTAGTACTTCGAAACACAGGGCAAAAATTGATTGAACGCTTGGGCAAAATCAGCCCCAAGCACAGTTGCGAAGGTGCCCACTAGATCGGCTGCACAGCCAATCAAGTTTGATTCAACTTCTGAGAGATCGCCAGTCGCTGATGCCTCTTCGAAATCACTGTCGAGTTGGGCAGTCGACTTCCTTTCCAAGATTGTCAGGATCAAGGTGCATGTCTCATCGAGGTCTGAAGCAAGCCAGGCACAATTCAAATAAATCAGTAATTGCGATGTGCGGGAGTGTCATGGACAAATGACTTACATGTGGGAGCAACGACGCCAGCACCGACGGTGGAGATGACCGAGGAGAGAGACGAACAGAGATCGCTAACTACGTCGCTGGGAAAGATGATAGATTGAAGTTAGCATGTTGGATACACAGGCAAACAAAGCAAACAGGCTGTAGTGTATGCATCAGAGTATAGTTCTAGTGGATTTCACATAAGTCGCGATCATATAGATCGGACAAATCTTAGTGAGCTGAGATAGAAGGAATCATCACGTGCAGGGTGCGATCAATAAAAATGAAGGCAACCATTGATATATCGACTTACCATTCATCTTCACCGCGCCATACGCTCATTATTTCAGGGATGACCAAATCCACAAGCTTGCGAACATCGTTGGGCATGTTGATGTGGGCCATACCAGGCTCAAATTTAGGGGGGTCGGTGATCTCATAAGCAATTGTGATGAAAGACAAGAGAGTCGTGGCGGCAGCCTTGCGGGTAGTGGGGTAAAAGTGAGTCAACAGCGGAGTCAAGCTCTTGATCGAGTTTTCCAAGTAGGGCAAAAAACTGGTTTTGGTGTATTCAAACAACTCGGACACAGCATCGGCCGCAACTGACTTCTCAACAGCGACCGCGGTGGTAGTCTTCATCAAGTCGTCGTCGTCCAAGTCGACATCCTCGACATCAACAAACGCAGAGTCTTCCTCAGCCTCGTCTTCGTCGTCGTCCGCAGCCTTGAATCCCTTGATCATTTCACTTGGCAAGACCGAACCATCGTCTTCTTCAGATTGCCCGAGACTGGCAAAGACGGCTGGCATCACCCGAGGGAGATAGGCAACAAACTCGGATTCGTAGACCTTGGCCAAAGTTCCGAAGAAAATCATCGAACATTCACGTAGACTTGGGCTGTTCAATTCGATGGCCTCGAAAGCAATGTTAAGACAGCCATCCAGGAAAGGTCTGAATTTTTCCTTGCCGACAGCAGAAGCCAAAGTACCAACAGTGTCTTGAGCGACACCCCGCAACTCCTGCTCGTCTCCCTCGCCTTTGAGAGAAAGGAAAGGAGTGATCCGTTGCATACAAACGTCGAAGTAAGGCTCGAATGCGCCTTTTGCGGCGTAAGCGGCGGAGCCAATCGCACCGACCACAGTGCCCTTGAGCTTCGGAGGAGCGGAATCGATCATGGGTACAAGACGCTCCATGAGGGGGTGAAGGTAGAGTCCGATTGTTTGGTCGTCAAGCACTTCTAAGAGACCATCGAGAGCCGTCATCGCATTCCTCTGGCAAGCAGGGTCATTGAGTAAAGCGGAAACCCGGGGAACGAGAATCTGGTGACGACTGGCACATTCGTCTACCAGCATTTCGCATATGCAGGACAAAGCGGTACAGGCGGCCCGTCGGACACGGGGGTCGCTATCTTCCAAACCCGTGTCGATGAAGGGCCATAACTGTTCGATGTGTGGCTGAATGAACAAAGAGCAGCCTTCGACAGTGACTCCAAGAGCCATAACGGCAGCCTTACGTAAGGTGGGATCGGTACTGCGGAAGCATTCTTGGATGCGAGAGTAGAGTGCTGGGAAGACAGCTTGGGGAGAGAGGGAGGTAGAGAGGGCATCGAGACATCGGAAGGCTGTCTGTAGGTGGAATAGCAGATAACAAAAAATCAGTAATCAGAAAGAATGGACTGGCAGATGAACTGTAACCTACCCTAGCCACGGAATCGTCTTCGGGGTCCTCAGGCTCATCTTCGGCACCAATGGTAATCAAAGAATCGACTATAGGTTTAATCAAGTCCATCGAAGCTATCTTGCTCTTCTTGAACTTGATGGTCCAAAGAAGACAGTTGAGGGCCATTATTCGTTGGGATTCGTCGAGTGACTTATTGTTGCCGATGGTAGCGTTGAATTCGACAACTTGGGTGAAATGAGCATTGATCAGAGGGACTTCGATGATCAAGAGTGTTTCTAAAGTGTCGAATCCTTTCTTCGCAGCATTTTCATCACCGGCTTCTAAGGTTTGGCCAATGACGACTAGCATCTGGGGTATCATCGCCTGGAATGAGGCCTAGTGGGAGACAAAAGGGAGAAGGAATAAGAAAATGGTCAACAGCTGCTGGATCATAAGCTCGGCTGAGTGATCACGCACAATGGAGGCTTCCTCATCAACTTCGATGTACTCGGCAACTCGACCAAGGGCTTGGACGGTGGTCACACGGACTTCGAGACTTTCGGGATCCTGAAGGGTTTTGGCGAAGAGGGCGTAGATTTGAGGGAGATTCTCGGCATATGAATCGACGACGGTGTCCATCAGACTAGAGAGCGTGAAGATCGCGACCTCTCGTTCATGGGCCACCGGACTGTCTGTTGCTTTGATCAAAAAACCTAACAGTTGGGGCCACGCTTTTTCGGGCAACTCGTATTCGGCAACCTCTGAGATGACACGAGCGATCGCATGTCGCGTGATGGGGACTGGTTCAGAGACGACGATTTCGAGAAGGCGCGCCTTGATCGCATCTCTCATCGAAGATTCGAGTTTTTTCCAATGTTTTCGTTTCCCAGCGGATACTCGTTTCCGGAGCTCAACAGCTGATAGCTGGCGGACCGCTGGCGTGCCACATGTTGTTAGGATTTCAAATAATCCGGGAATGGCGAGTGGAGAGCGATAGAATTGTTCATTGAGTGCTTGAGTGGCCTGTTAAGTATATCGGTGTAACCAACAAGACAAATCAGCGCGTTGGTCAAAAGCAATGGAATGTCATTGATAATGTTGCGGTGGTTGATTGGAGGGAGGAAGGTATTCCGAAAGACAGCATTCAAAAGAATGGTAGGCAGCTTGGTTGATGACGTCATACTAACGAGATTCCATCCTATACGGATTGTAATCTTCATAGAGCTAATGCTCTAAAGAATAGCGGTTCTGAATTGGTGATAATCATCCGTCATCAAACCAGTTATGCACACGATATATGTTGCGCTGGCCCTCTCTGCTCTGGGCGGTAGACAGCAAAAAGAAAGCTCAAGTTGATCGGGTAATGAAAACCAGATGATCGTGCAGGAGAGGTATGATGGTGCAGTATGGATTTATGAAGTTGAGAGATAGATGACTAACAGCTTTGATACCATCGGTGCCACTCGGTGTGGCGATTTGTTCCAAGCAGGATTGGAGTTGTTGGACAAATTGAGGCTAGATGGGTGGAAGGAGGGGAAGCAGAAGATGGAGTTGTAGTCAGTACATAACTGTTTGGGCTGATTAAAGTGGGGAAATCGATGTTGGAGAGTGAGAATGCGGGAAGCTTACGTCCATCTGGTCACCAAGAATAAGTGGAAAGGAACAAACTTGCTGGGGTCCGGTGATGGGGGGGATGGCGATTAGCTGGACAGTGTTTTTATTTTTTCAGAGATGCAGGAGCACTACTGCGATCGTGTGCAGAGTGTGACGAGGTGGGGAGGAGAAGAGAGAGCAAAGCCAGTCGAAGGGGGGAGGGAAAGACGAAGGGGCAGGCGAGAGACCGGGGTACGGACAACGGGGTGACCAGGACAAGGGGGAAAGAAATGGGCCGAGAAAAATGTTGGCTGACCTAACCCGGGAGGAATACCAGTTAGGTTACAGATGGTGATACTACATATGCGAAGAAGATTTCAAAGCTTGCGGGTCTCAAAGAAAAAAACTTCCGGGGCGCGCTCCGACGGCTTCACCCCCGAACACTCTGCACATCCCCCGACCGTAATGTTTCCGGGCGAAGCCACCGATTGCCGATCATAACTAGGCGACCGGCTGCGATCAGGACCCTGCACCTGGATCAACACACCTGGCCAGAAAGTTGCAGGGCCAAGTCTTGGTCCGCACAACACCAAGCAAGGTGACTCCCGACCTTATTTGAAGTCTGGGATCACGCCCAGACGGGATGTCACAAGTTGTTTTCGTTTGTTTGTTGAGTATTCATCAGGATAGATTTGTTGATTTGTGACTGCAAGTTGACCCTCTTGGGCATGTTTTATAGAACCTCAGTTAAATACAAGAAGTTGTTATCATTAGTTCCGATACTCCTAAGGGGCTTTTTCAACCCCTTAGTTCTCACATCCAAGCCTGGAGCATCTTATCCCTCTAGATTGAGGTGTTTTTTGGCTTGGTTGCATCTCTAGCAACATATACACTGCAGTCTAACCTGCTCTAACAGCTCCAACAGATCATTTGCTGTCTTTCCCCCCTTCATTGACCAGAATTTTTTTAACTCTGATCAACAATGCCCCACAAGCTTGAAGGATCATGTAGGTTGGATTAGGGAAAACCAGCTTGAGAGTAGGATGTGAGCTAGTGGTGTATGAAGATACACTAAGCTTGCTAATCCTGGGATTGATGAGCTAAAAGGTGTAAGTTGATGCACATATGAACATAGTACCCCCCATGAAAACTGATATACATGTGCCTACCATTGAGGGAGATCAAATCATCTCTGGAAACAAAAACTCATGCCTGCTGTATGATCACATTTTTCAATGTGATTAAAGACCAAATGTAATGTCTCAAGGCAAATCCTCCTCTGGTTTTGCATGATAAAATGACATTCCTGAATGACCATGAAGAATCAGCATGCAAGCTTTCAAATTTTGGTGGCAGTCTTTGTGTTCATTTTGTTGTGTCTATCTATGCATTATTGATTTTTCCACCTATCAAAACAGTTTACTTGCTTCTATTGCAATACCAAGCTCTTTGATTTTTCAGCCTGGTACAGGAGAGTCTCATGAGACCACTCATATCACAGGAATATTTATCCTCTCATAAAAAACCTGTTCCATTTTGATTAAAATTTTTTTAGGGAAGATTAGTATGGAAATACAAATAGACTAAACTACATGGAAATAAACAAGATGGTGCAGAAAAAAGGTTATTACAATCCAATATGGAGAAGAGATGCTGGGAATTGGCTTGAGAAAGTTCAAAAAATTACCTGCTCAATATTTGATAGGAATGAGGTGCTGAGACCACACATTTTCACTGGAAAAGAGTGGTTGCTTACTGGTGGAGGAAGCTGCTCAAAGCTGTGTAGCATAGCAATGCTTGAGTACTAATAGCACCATGCAGGCTGAGGTGAGACCTGCCACAATAACACTAAAGTTCTTGATTGTAGTGTAGCCAAGTTACCCAGGGATGCTTATATACCAACCATTTTGAATGGTTCCCCAACTAGAAGCCATCTGAGCATATCTTGCTTGATTTTACTCACTCATCTCAATTGAATTTTCAAGAAGTTTCAAAAGACTGGACACTTTCAGTATTCTATTGACTCATTTTACCAGCGTTTATTTTACCCAGTTTCTGTTTTTATTGAATACACACTACCTTATTATGCTGTCTCTTGAATTTTGGAAGATTTCATTGTGTAACAACATTGTGGTAATTGTGATTTTTTGGCCTGACAGTCTACCCACTGTACAGTGGGTAGACACTGAAAAGTGGCTGCTTAGAGCATCTCCACTGAGGGGGACTATATTGCGGGACTAAACACAATTTAGTCCCCCAAACCCAATTTAGCCCTTCCACTGGAGGCACTAAACAAGGTCCTAAATTAGGAAAAGCCAGCTCAGGTGCTATAGTTAACCTAAATTTAGGAAAGTATGAGTACTGGACATCAAGTGCCTATTGACCATATCACTGACAACCTATGTGATATCCATTCCCCCATACACAACACATATCCCCTGTACCTACCTCACTTGATCACATATGTCCAAGACTCCAGCATACTTCACTTCTCCTCAACATCACTCCTCTCAAAGAATCTCACACCATCATCAACTCAAACAACAATCTGAATGATGAAAGAATCAAAGATGAAAATGACTGCAGTCATCATTTTCTCTCTTCTACATTCTTTTTTTCTTCATCATTTATTCTATTTATTTCTGATAATCCAAACTTCTATCTTCTACCTAAAGCCAATCCTGATCTTGACCGTAATGAACACTAAGAAAAAGAAAGCTCCAAATCCCACCAAGCCAGAGGATTTTGGGTTGTGTTGAGATTACATTTGGATATGTATCTGAAGATCCTGCCATTGGAAGGGGTCTAGAGGGAATTGGGGGGCATATGGGAAGGGCCTTTAACAAGGCCAGCTGCTATGTGAAGAACCTCCTGGTGTGAGAGAGCCTTTGCCAGGGGAGCTAAAAGTGCTCCACAGTTGCGTGAGGTGGAAATTTGGGGAATCAGGTAGTCCCCTGCGGTGGAGATGGTCTTATAGTGGGTAGACAGTGAAAAGTGGCTGCTTATTTTGGATTCCAGAGCTTGGAAATGCAAAATTGAAGTCATGAGACTGTGTCAATTGGTGCAGAATAGGTACTAAAAAATTAATATGAAAAAATAAAAACAAAAAATTTGTGAAAAATAAAAAACAATTTTTTTTTTCAAAAGCCTTAATATTCATTTTGGGGGAGTGAGAGTTCAGGGAGAAAGAAAGCTCGGGACATGTAAGAATGATTATAAATAAAAATTTTGGAGAAATTGGTTTCCAGATGGCTTTAAACAGCTGTTGAGTGGGTCATTCACCAGTGCACATGACAGCAAAGCACTAGAATTTACTGTTTTGACTCCAATTTTGACAACCAAACTGGCTAAACCTTTTTTGGTTCCAATTTTTTCATTTATAATCATTCTTCCCATGCTCCAATCATTCTTTCTCTCAGCACTCTCACTCTCCCAAAATAGATATCAAGGCTTTTGAAAAAAATGAATTTTATTTTTTATTTTCTACAAATTTTGAAACTTTATTTTATTTTTTTCTAATTTTTCATCTTCATCTTTTGGGACCCATTATGCACGATCTGACCAAGTCTCATGACTTCAAGTTTGTGTTTTGGAGCTCTGGAATCCAAAATAAGCAGCCACTTTTCACTGTTTATCCACTATACATATCCCATTTGGTGAGGATCAGAGGATTCCAGCATAGATTTTCAATGAATTGCATCCCTACATAGTCTTCAATATTTTCTCAAGCCCTGTAACCAAAAACACAATTGAGTTTCCTAGGATCTGCAGCTAATCCCCAGGTACAGTTGCAAATGTCAATCACCTTTACTGACCCGCCTGCAAACAACACTGGGTCTATACTTTACGGTTATTGGTATAGCATTGTTATAGTATATATATTTCCAACTTTACTATAAAGGGTGTGGTTATAGTCTGATTTTCAGGGCCCTTTACTATAACTGAGGAGAACAGGAAATTCTTTTGGGTGATATACTCTACTATAACCTGCCCTGGATGCTGCTAAAAACATCTAAAGCTACTTGTGAGAGTCTCTTGACCATAGAAGGGCCCTCTGGAGTTCATAGACACACTTCATGGTTGATAAAGACAAGGCGCTTGCAAAATAGGTGAATTTTGGAGCCACAAAAAGTGGCCTATACTATACCAAGCTTGGTGGGAAACACACTGGTTATAGTATTGGTATAGTAAATAGAAATTTGAGGAAACTTTACTATACTGAAAGGGGTCAGTTATAGTAAAGTATAGTATAGACCCATTGCTGCTGCAAAGGTCATCCAGGTGGAGGGAACATGGGCCAAACCTCCCCGCTGAACACAATTTTGTGCATTTCAGACTGAGGGGAATTCAGAATTAACTTGGTCCAGGGATCCACCCAGTAGTTCTTTTTTTAAGTATATGTGTATGGATTTAAAGGCTATATTATGGCATAAGAGAGGATGTATACATCTTTTAAACCCATACCTAAAGGGTGTTAAATGGAAGACAGGCCTGCTTGTGACACCTGAAAGTCATTTTATGGCGGGGAATCAATCCCACAACCTGCCAGAACCTTACAGATCACCCACAACCACTACACCAGCCTACAGATACATGGCCAGGAGCTTAGCCGGTTCAATCAGGTTATGGCAACTGCTGATGTTGGAGTATTCTCATAGGCAGAGTCACCCCAAATACACAAAATTTTAGAAAAAAAACATTGGTCCCCAACTTTCCAGACCCAAAAGAAGTGTTGCTGTTTATTGATGTTTGCAACTGTAGGGGTACTGGTTTGCTTGAAAAATACTGCAATTGACTGTACATATAACAGGCATGCTGGATAGAGATAGGATGCAAAGAAAGCCCCCCTCCCACCAGGAAAAAAAAATAATGATCACTTGATGACAAGTGACTTCAGCCCAAGTCCAGCATGCTACCCATTACATACCCAGCTCAACCCTGCCTCAGCCCCATGTAGCACACAAAGGGGCTATTGTATCTGGGTTGCAATAGAGTTGGAGCTACTGTGGAGCAGTGATCAATGTTACATGATGTCACTTGCCACCTAGTGAGCATTGATTTTTCCAGGTGTTAGACATAGGGTGGTGTTGTGAAAGGTGTGTTAAATTGCAAAAAATGTCTAGATTGTACTCTTGAAATCAATTGGGTGTTTCTAGCCAAATTTGTACAAGAGTCTATCTTTGGCTGTGTGAGTAAACCTAGCTGATAAAATCAAAATCCTTGAATTTGCCTTCAGATCAAAGACTTTATCATAGGCTGCCTGTATCAAGTTAATTGGGCATGAGAACACACTTAAAAAGGCATTGATCAGCTATGTCCTAGGGCTTGTCAATCACAACATTGGTTGAACATTTTTTTTACTCTTTGTTCAATTGAGAATCTGAGCATGGGATCCAAAACAAGGCTTGTTTGACCTGTCCAACATAGACTTGTTGGAAACGGCGATATCTCAGTATTTTTCTTTCCGGGTTGAATTACAAGTCGCTCATATTTCAGTCAAAAGAGTTATGGTGATACTTATTTCCAAAAGAGCTGGCTTAATTTGTCCGCATTTGATTCATCATAAGTACGACTTGGTAGCAGTCAAACATGATAAATTTTCCCCGCGGAAAAATCAGACTGGGGCATATGAATGATACAAGACGTATTCTCATGGACGATCTATGCAAACGGAAGAAACCTTTTACTTCTTGACAGTGACTTCAGTCGAATTGCTGTAAAGCATGGGGCTTTGAGTGGCCTGAGGATATTCGTCGAGTCAGTTGGACTGAGGTTATCCGAGTGAATAAAGTGAACTGACTTACCCCTAAAAGCAAATACTGGGAGAGCACGAGGTCATAACTAAAAAAAAGGCTCCGAAGGACTTGTTTCAGTCGATGGTAATTTTGCAGGAGATAGACAAAGGGAAGTGGGCATACGGAGTTGAAGAAACACCGGCAGTGAAGTCCTTGGCTTCAGGCAAGATAGTCGAAAACTTGTAGCTCAAAGTTTTAGGATCGATGTGGAGGTCGCTAGCATAGATCGTCTTGAGTACATGTCCTACAGACTCCTTAGGAGCATTGTCTTTGACTGATTTGAAGCCCAAAGTGACCGCGACAGTCTTGACTGACGAAGTAGTGGCTGGATCACAACAAGGAACCGGGAGTTAGCGCTCAAATAGAATACCTGCTTCGCGGATCAAAGGGGTACACACATGTAAAGTGGAGCTCAAAGTCGGTCTTTTGACCAGGGGACAAAACAGCTCCCTTCGCCGGTGAGACAATCGTCATTTGTTGAGCAGTCGCGAATCCCACGGCCAGGATGAGAAGACAGGATACCAGCATACGCAATCCAGCCATACTTGCAGATTGATAAATTTTGAAGAATATCGGAGAAAGTCGATGAAAAACTAGAGGATATTTTTGAGTTGATGAACTTGGGAGGGTTGCTTCGAGGAGTACAGATGAGCTCGCGGAGTTATGTGTAATCAACAAGTACGCCTGGATCTGCCTGGATGAACTGTGCCATACCGCCCACTTCTATCAGACGCACCGCCCTCTGCGGGGCGACGCCGTAGCACAGCCCTGCAGGCTTAACCATGAACCATCCCAAAGAGGTCGCAGTTCATGTTCAATTGCATGGGTTGACTAGAATCACAGATTATGGGTCAATCTCACAGTCACATCCCCACGCTCATTGTAGTCACTGGCCTGCGCGCTCGTTGACAGCTTGCGATGCACATCCGCGCGTGGGCTGGAACGCGTTTAATCCCAATCGGACGACTCTAATTGATGGTTGTCCATTTGTTTATAACAGATCGTTTTTCGTTCCTCCTTTGGCCTGGATGGGTATCTTCTGGGCTTCTCAATGCTCAGTTGGTTCGTACATAGATATCTCTACACATCATTACTATCATCCAACATTTTTTTTTCCGCTCGCTGATCACTGGAAAGTTTTGGACTAGATTAATAAACGAGACAAGAAGAATGATTGCGCTAGATGAAACTCGTTGACTCGGTAACTTTGACTCGAGTCGAGTTACTGTACATCATGGGGCTTTGGATGTTCTGATCAAATGAGTTGCTGATGCCTAGGATATAGTACTGAGATACTACGAGATCATAGCTAAAATAGTAAAAGAAAATTTTAACTTGTGGGTCAATTTGGCAAAGGAAGAAAAGAAAAGAAAATTAAAAATCGACATACGGAGTGGAAGAAGCACCATCAGGGAAGTCTTCGGCTGGAGGCAAAACCAGTGAAAATCTGAAGGTATATTTGTGATCCATGTGAATGTCACTGCCGTAGAGTGTCTTGAGCACCAGTTGTCCTAAGGCGCCCGGGTGGGTTTGATCTTTGATTGATCGCAGTCCCAAGTTAATCGCGACCATTTCGAGAGATAACTTGGTGGCTGAGGATGGATATGAAGTCAGCTCAACCGGGGGGGGGGAAATCTGATCGATTAAAGACTATGAACGCACATCTTAGACGGAGAACAAATTCGGTACTCTGGCCGGGGTGCAAAACAGCCCCTGGAACCGGGGAAAGGACACTGATTTGTTGAGCCATTGTGAGTTGAGTAACCCATCCGGCAAGGACAAAAAGAAAAGATAGCAGTGTGCGCAACCCAGGCATGTTTGAAGGTGAATCAATTGGCAGCAGTTGGAACAGTCTGAAAGATCTCGCAAGGAGAAGAATGCATCCTATGTAAGAGGTTTTTATCGCCGTATACACGTGAGGCGCCACCGCCGCCACCCAGGTGCCCATTATTCAATGAACTCCTTTGTGACATTGCTACAATCCTGATCAGTGTCAGAATTGCGTGAACAAGGAGGCACGGCTCCACGATTCGTCTCCAGGAGCTAGCTGAGAAATTGACCTAAGTCTCCCTCAACCACCTCCCGGGAGTCATTGCACCTGGCAAAAGAGATACAGGGTTTGACTTTGATTTTGGTTAATCTGCTTTGCATGCTGAGTTGGAGTGCAGTTGCAAACTCGGGGAAGGGAGCACATCGCTCATGTTTGTTTGCAACACAACAAAAGAGGCGAAAACGAAACAACAAAAGAAGATTGCATTTCAGGCCCAAATATAATTTCAAGCAGACTTCCATTCCAAAAAAAATCAAGCGCTATATCGACAACACGTAAGTCTACAAAACGAGAAGACAAACTGCAACCAGAAACAGAAATGGACATGGGATACATACACTGGCAGATAAATGCCCCATGCACCGCTGATGTGATGCTGCTATTCCCAGCAGGCAGAAAACAGCCAGATATGCAACAAAAAAATGCATCTTCAAGCCCCCCCCCCCAAAAAAAAAAAAGAAATTCAAGCAGAGTTCCATTTTCAATAATGTATCAGAGAGAAGTAAACAAACAAAAACAAGCAAGAACCAAGAGATCTATTGAGAACAAGTAAGACTACAAAGCGAGAAGACAAGCCGCGAGGAGAAAGCACGCGGAATACATAGCAGACGGATGGACATGCGATGCAGCGCCACTAGAGGGCTTGTTGGAATTGCTAGAGGAGCCGCTGTTAGGGTCGGAAGAGGGAGTGGGAGACGAGTTGGAACCTTTTCCACCGTTGGGATCCGTAGAATTGGGAGTCGGATTCGTGCTGTTGTTCGCGTTGTTAGGATCCGCCGGAGGAGAGTCGCCGCCAGTTCTGGAGATATATCCGAGACAAATGGTCAGTATCGTAAAAAAAGAAGGGGGAGGTGCATTGGGCAGGAAGGAATGTAGGAGACCGATTTACGAGTTGTTGTTTTGCACGTTCACTTGGACACTGGTCAGCTTGAGAGTGGGTGTGAATGTTGCCTAATTAAATCGAACATCGGGGTTATCAGTATTGATTTTTTTTGCGAGATGCAAATCAAGTGTTTTTGAGACTGACCCCTAGCAAGTAGAGATCGGATACGGTGAGCTCGTATCTGAAATGAAGAAGACGTGAGGAAAGTGAGCAGACGATCTAATCTTGTGAGGAGATCGACAAGTTGGCGTACGGAGCAGAGAAGCCATCCAAGAAATCCTTGGCTGCAGGCACAGTGATCTCGTATGTGTATGTTCCTTTGGATGCGTCGAAGGCAACATCGGGCGATCCGGGCGAGACGCTTCCGACGGTGGGTCTGCCGAGCGACTTGTCGTCGTGCTTGGAGGTGGCCCTGAAGCCGGTGCTGAATGCAATGTGTTTGACTGAGGAGGTGGTGCCTGGAACCCCATATAACCGTTAGGACAATGGTCAACATGGCGCGAAGATGAGGAAATATAACTTTGTAAGAAGATGATGGCTGTGTACCTTGGGCCTGGAGGACAATCTTGAGCTTTTGTCCAGGCGTGACGTTCGAATCCTTGGTAGGACTAGCAATCGAGATATCTTGCGCTAGGGAGCCTAGAGGGGAGAGGAGAAATCCGAAGAGGCTGATGGTAGTCACTCTCATTTTAGCGTGTGTTACTCTTAATGAACAACACGAGATGATGGCGGAGCTGGATATATATATAAATGTAGACTGATTTCACCAAAGAGCAAAATGAAAGTGTCACTAGAAATGTGATTTTACTGCTGTGAATGAGGGATGGGAGGAGAGGTAGAGAAGCCGTTGGTGACGACGAGCGGGCCTTAAATGGACCTTGTGCCGGGCTTCACGGTTTATCTTCACCATCGGCTGACCATGAGATGGTGTTTTACATGGCAGCCTCGGCGTGTTGCGCAGCGGCGAATCCATCGACTGATAGTGCGGTAGATCGTCATGGTGATGTTGTCTGAAGTGGACAGTTGAGAAGACGCCCGATGCTGCCATAAATTTGCACGAATCGGTCAGATGTGTAGTACAACAATATCACGCCTCGGGCGCGCTTGTAGGAGCTGGCTGTTGGAGCTAAGGAGCTCTTTGCGTCGCACTCGTAGTCAAGGCTGTCTCTTCGGATCGTTCCTACACTTCATGTTGTAGCTGGAATCTCTCTACGGGGTAGGAATCCGCCATGATGAGACGATTGTCGAGATCATCAGGTCCACGCGGCTCGACAGAAGGCTTGGATGGATTCCAGGTTTCATTCATTCAGGGCCACGAGCCGGGGGCTCAAGCATAGTGAAACAAACCCTTTCAAAGGGAGGACCTGTGCCGAGGGGGAGTAATTATTCACACTTCCGGTAACGTGTCGAGCTCCGGAGAAACACCGGCCGGAAGTAATCATGACCCCCAGTGCACAAGCTCCTTCGGTCACGGCGACAAGCATCAACATTGTTAGAATTCCAAGCGTCTCAAATATCATGTATTCTTTATATCTGAATGCGTCATTCCAGGCTGGCAATCTAAAATGTCATCAGATTGAGCCAAGGCTTCACTAGTTCAGAAAGATGAGGAGGCATTTATCCTCTGATGACTCATCATTACTGACTAGCTTGGTGTTGGACAAATGGGCGTCTCATTATGATCTGTACCCTCACCCTCCCTAAGAATAATAACGATCGGAAGGAACAAGAATAACATGTACGTAGAGAACTATCAAGGAAGAAGCGTGATTCTCTTTTAGTGATATCGATCAAAAAGGAAAGATGTATGTATTCACAAGGATAAAACGACAGTTCCAATAACACATAAAGGGAGACGCGAAGAGAGAGAAAGAGTCAGAATCGAAGAAAATAAAAACTTGCCAATAGGAAAAAGAAAGTATGTATGTTGGTGATGTTAAACATCCTGTGCGGGACCAGGAGCAACAACAACACCAACAGAGGAGGGAGCTGTCTGATCTGCAAGTGGATCCTCAAGTTGGTTGTTTTTGGCAAGCGTTTTTTTGCGGAACCAGCGTTGATCTTCGGGCGAGAAGCCAGCTTGAGGAGACCCAAAAAGCGCAAACTCGGGCGTCACATCGCAATAATCTAATCCCTCAAACTCTGTTTGTCCCGACTCCACCAATTCAAAAAACTCTATTTTTTTTCGAAATGAAAGGGGAAACAAACAATATCAATTATGTTATTTGTAAAAGGAGGAAACCACGAGGAAGGAAAAAAATGACAAACTGTCATAGTCGATCCAAGTATGCCATTGATCGTCGAAGTAATATTTTTGATGGGCAGCCAAGACACAACAAGAATGAGCATGTTCAGCAGCCAAGCCGTACTCGGCAATCGGCGCTTGCTGGGCATCGCCGTTTTGAGAAGAGGCGCGGTAGCGAGGATCATTGATCTCTTCGCACAAGTCTTCGACAAACTTGATCACCTCGTTATGCCAGGGCGAGTTTTTGATCGTCAGGTTTGAAGAGCCTGGGTATCCGCAATAGGTGACCTAAATGAGACCACAAACATGTCGATTTTTTGAGTGTTCATCATGATGATCTACAAACAATCAGACTTACGCCTTTGACTTCGATGAAGTCGGGCTGGCCTCGGCGAATCAATTCGGCATACTCCTTGATCTCGTCCGAGTTTTCTCCCTTCACCAACGTCAGCCGGAAAACCGTCCGGATCTTTTTCTTGCGGACGATATCGATCGACTCCAAGAATCGTTCCCAGAAATCTCGGTGCAGCGGCCGATCGATCGACTTTAATGACTCTTTCGTCCCCGCATCGATCGAGAGGTACAGCTGTGTAACCGGCGGTAAGTCTAATAACGAGTCTGGAAATTGCGCATTGGTCTGTGTCCCAATTTTAAATTGACAATCCTTGATCAGTTTTTTTTTCTTGGACCAGGAAAGAACATTCTGATATTCGATTTACTATTTTTTAATGTTGAAATTCGTTTCTCTGTGAGCAGGCTGATATACTTCTTGATGTGGGCTGTATGGTCATTCCAGAGCAACGAACTCCCGATCAAGAGCGGAAGAAAAGGGGAAGAAACAGAAAGGAAGAAACTACTTTCTTAAGTCACATGATGGCTGGAATGTGGAAAGGAAGCAATAATTTAAAATACGTACGGAACATGACCGGTTCTCCGACAAGGCTCAAGGCAGCATGACGAGGAGTTCGGGCTTCAGTAAATCGGTCCGGTCGGACTCCTGGCATCCCGGCTAACTGTTTAATCACTTCAACAGTTTGGGAACGATCTCATGTGAGTATCTCATGATTTCAAAGAGAAAGGACGGCTGAGACTAACATCGATCGTGCTCCTTCAAGCTTTCTTCTACCACGAATTCCGCATCATCCGTCTTCCATCTCCACGAAGTTCCGACCGGATTGGTATGTGATCTCCAACAAAACGTACACTAAACGAGCACAACAAAAGGGGATTGGTTGAGATTTGTGTATAACTTGATGAAAAATCGGGAAGACAAACTTTGTTTGCACAAGCTAAGGATGGGGTGGCTTCCATGCACTGGTGGGATTGGATACCTAAATAAACCAACAGATCAAGGACATGAGAAATTCGATCGACCAACCAATCCGGCATTTTGATTGATCCAAACATACCGTAGAATGCATGTTTATAGCAAAATCCTCTGCCTCTTAGAGAAGCTTTAGTCCAACGACAAGTTTTGACAGCACTATGAGAACCGACGATTGCATATCCTTGCTTGGTCAGACTTTTTCGAGTCATAGGACTAATCATATCTTTCTTAATCATCTGGTTTTCGGCGTCATCTTTTGAGTTTGAGGTCAGGTTCTCGATCTGGGGTACTCCTACTCCTAAGTCTTCGATATCTTGAGTTCCGTTGGTCTTCTTTTCACCTTGATTGATCTTTTTGTTTAATAATCTTTTGGACTTTTGGCGCGCTTTTTCAGCTTTGGAAAGTGGCTTTGAATTGGAATAATCTACAAATTCGTCATCTGAGTTGTCAACATCATCTTGTTCTTCCTCCTCCTCTTCTTCTTCTTCTTCTTCATTTTCTGCAGAATACTTCTTGATCTCTTGAGATTTGATAGTTGGTAGCTCGGAGAAAGATTTGAGTGCCGGATGAAAGGTTTTCTGAATGATAGAATGATAATAATGGTCGAGATCGCGTTCAGGATCGACTGCGACATCGATCTTCTGTAGAGGTAACAGCCTTCGGGCGCCTAATCCTTCCAGTATCTCGTCGAGCTCAATGGCTTGTTTGCAAAACTCATCTCGATAATCAGAGTGTCCAATACCGATGACGGCGAAACTGAGACCAGCGAGAGAGTTCTTGGATAATCTGAAGTCGAAGAGAGCGTCTCGGAATTGAGCTAGTACCGAATCGACTGGCGACTCGACGTTGTAGGAGGGTAATAAGAATATGGCGAGTTGATAGGTGGAATCGACCGGTGTTTGGATGATCAGTTGGTCTAGGTCTAGATGGTCGAGAGACTCTAGGGTGGAGTGGAGATGCTGGGAGGATGATTGGAGGCTTGTCGACAGTTGGTTTGCTAGTTTCTTGGTAGTCGAGGAGAGTGAAGAGTAGAGTACTTGGGTGTTCAACGGTCTATCTGCGTTTGTATGGTTGGTGAGGTTGAATCGACTGGTGATGGACTCTACTAAGCTGAACATCTCGTCTGACCGTTCTTGACCGTTCTTTCCCTTTTTCTTTGATTTTCCTCGTTTGGTGGTTTTTGTGTTTTTTTTTTGCTGGTGATGGTCAACAGGCAAGTCGATCGGAAGAAATTCACAAGTTTGCATTAATCTGGTCATGTGAAAGGCCACCTGTCACGAGTTTGACCCAGACTCAACTCCAAAGGAAAGCCACTGGCTGAAACACTTGTGAAGGATGCACCCTGCATTATAAATGTGTCCCTTCATTATGAAATTATAAAATAAACCTTGCATGGATAGAGCTATGGTGTTTGAAATGAATTCAGCAAATTTTTAATTTTTGTCATAACATAATCAGCAATTTTGGCTGGGACCAACCTGTCAATTTGAGTTTTGAGTATGCTGACTGGTCCCTGCCAAAATTGCACATTATTGGATGACTTTGCTCATCAGTTGTTGTTTGAGTCAAACTGTCAATAGGGGCTTTCATGAGAGAAATTCATAAATTTCTTATAGCCAATTTTCAGTTCCTTATCAACAAGATTTTGGAATTTTGACATAATGAAGAGATTTTGGGGTTTCTGAACAATCAGAACAACTTTTTCATGTTTCAAAAAGTTTTCAATAACCAGCTAAAAATTGGCTTGAAAAATATGTAAACTCTCATTGTGAAACCCTCCAATATCTATTTAAAACCTTGTGTCATACAGAAACTTTCTGACATGTTTCTGGTAAATACATATTTCACTTCTCATAGCCTCAAATTTATTCATGGCTTCACTTTTTATCACACGCTCTGTTTTGATATTGCTGTGTTATATAAGTGATACTTCAACAGTTATCAATTCCATGATTTCAGTATGATCAAAATCAGTTGACATCATTTGAATGATACAAAATATCCTGTAGTTTTTGAAACTTGTTTGAAGGGGACTGGCTTCAAACAAGTTTGTAAACCATCAAGCTCACATGTGCTGTCAGAAAAGGTTCCTTTGTAGAATATAAATACATCAGAATGATTTGGATGAATTTGAGAAAGAGTTTATTTTATGAATTTTTTCATTATTGTTTGAACTGATCACAAACCAATAAATCCTAGTAGAATTACCGTAATCATGATATCAAACATTCCTATTCAATATGTATCCCTTTTGGGAATAGCAACAGTTCAATTTGCTCTATCTATGATGAATGAACCACATTTACATCTTAATGGAATAGAGTACACAGATTCAGGTGAGGAAACAGATTTCCTCATTTATCAACTTGCCACCTGATACTGAGATAAGCTTTGATAATTGTTTTTTTCATACAATGGCAAATCAAATTAAAGTGATAGAAGACACTGGATCAAGTAAAGCCATCACAAACACTCAGAGAACCAATGAAGTTATCATCACCAATAATTTAGATGACAGAGTATACCATGAGAAAAATCAACAGAATGAAGGTAATGATTGATTTTCTTCTGTCTCAAATGATGATCAATTAGAGGTCTATGGGAGGTAGCTGACTTATTCTTGAAGCTGAGATACAAGGAATGGAAATTGAAATAGGTGAGATACGCCAGGAAATTGAATGGCTTAAGAAGCACAAGATATCCAAGTTTTCAGAATTTGGGCAAAAAATGGATAGAATTGATTCTAATCTGAAAGGGCCAATTCGGGCAAAGCTGGTTGAGTTAAAAGGAAGAAGACCTCTGAATTCTTTAATTGCCTGGTATGGAGGGATTGACATACCAAGGCAAAACAGACCAATTAAATCTACAGGAACAGGTGAAATATCAGATCATGCATTTTCAATAGTAAAAGAAAGGTTCATGGCAGAACTGGTCTCCATTTGGAATGATTTACATGAAACTCTAAGAAAATGGAAAGATGAAGTTCATAAGACTGATCAAGAAATAATGGGTGTTCTTGTCTCCTTGAAGTGCTTGTTCCTCCTTGGGGATTTTATTCAAACACACAAATTGATTCATCCTTATTTTTTGAAGCAAATTCAAACATTTGCATCAGAAAATGTAATGGAAATGGTAAAGTTCAATATCAAGATGAGCTCAAAGATCCCAATTAATCTCATCTTCAAGCATTCTCTCAGTGGACCAGTAAATAATGGGATGTTGATCACAGGAAATCCAGCCTTGAAACATTTTAAACTTTCTATAGCAGGTAAGACTCACTTGAAAGTACCAAAATCATTTGAACTGTTTCTATGAAGTTTCTTTTTTTTCCTTGAAATGAAATTAATGATGATCTGTTTTCTATTTTTCTTCAGCTCTTCCAAATGAAAACAAAATGGATCTTTCTTATCAAATTCTGAAAGAAGATGTTTTACTACTCAGAAAAGAGCCACAAGATACAGGATTATCAAACTTTGATTTTATTTTCCAGGAATTTGATGATGATCATTTGAAAGATAGACTGGATGATCTTTCCTTGGAAATAAATCAGCAAAGATTCTCAAATCAGGAATCTCAACATCCAGAAACAGTGAAGAATATGAAGAAATTATTTCAGTTGTTTGATGAGCTCCCATCTTTTCCATTGGGTATATTAAGTAAAATAGATTTGACTCTGGTGATGTTTAATTTGATTAATACTATCAAAACATTTTACAAGAGTTTATTTCATATATTTATACCTTGTGATGTAGATCATTTAGAATTTGAAAGGAAATTGCAATACATGGAAGATTCCTTGAAATTTGTCTATACAATTCAGTGGAACAATAATGAAGAGAAAATTAAACAGGAAAAGAGTGAAGCCCTTTCAAGAATTCTGAACCTCAATGAATCTGGTGATATATCTCTTAATAATTGGGAAATGAATGTTTTACATGTGATCCTTTTAATTGAAACAGATCTTCAATCACCACAAACAGTTTCAGAATACCAGAAACACCTTCAAGCATTGCATGAATTCCAATGCTATGGCTGTCAAGAGCCCTATTTTCACAATCTGCAGCCCACTCTTGATCCAAAATCAATCAAACAAACTGATCATCCTCTTCAGCCAGTGGACATGAATATAGGTGGGAGAATTTAACCTGAAAGGCAATTATGGATCAAGAATATCTTCATGAAAAAATTCTCAAACAATTTCAAGATCAACTTTATTCAAAAATCTCACAAGATTAACAGTTTTGTGATACAATTGTTGGTTATTTTCAGAGTAGTTTCCGTTCAATATTTAATCCATTTGTATTTAACTGAGTCAAAAAAATATGTTTGCAGTAGCATGAAATTCTTATCCATAAGACAATTAGTGATTTGAAATTCATCCTCTTGACTTGATTTTTAAGAATTAAAAAAACATGAATTGGCCAGTACCTTCCTTATAAAGAAACAGTAAGGAGGAAGCTCAGAAGAGCTCCTTAGCTTGAGTGAGTCAGTAGGGGTGGAGAACAACAATGCTTGCTGGTGAACCAATTTTTTCTGCTTAGTGACAAGGTCAGAACTAGCTTAACACAAGCCAGGACCCGAAAAGCCCCCTAATAGGGGGGTGTTGAAAAAAGGTACGTGAAAATGGCAAAAATGCCAAAATCATAACTTGAAATGGGTATGAATTTGTGATTTTTGTCAAAATGGTACTCATGAAACATGATGTTCAAATAGGTATGTAAATTTCTACTTGACACTGCTTTAAATTAAGGGGGTTGGAAAAACGACTCCCAAAAATTTGATGACAACTCCCATTTGGTCAAGGGGTTGTCTTTCCAATTCCCCCTGGGGGATTGGGAGTCGACCTCCCAATCCATTTT